TCAATCTCATTTCAAAGATCATGGAAAAATTTTATGATTGGTAGTTTCCGGATTTAACTATATATGCATGAATGAATTGATTGGGCTTCTATTTTGTTGAATTTTATGTGAGCTTGTAAACATTGTTTGGCTTTAAGTTTGTTATGCACTTGCGATTTTAACATAAATGAAATCAAAATTAAAAATGGTGTCTGGTTCCATTAATTCATCAGCATGTTAAGCATGCAAAAGGCGGGGGGGGGGGGTTTTGGCAGGTATTTGGGGGTTTGTCAGGATGGGATATGGGTGGTGCGGTGGGTGGTATAGGATATCTAAGTGTAGGACTGGGATTGAGGAGGTGAGTGGGTGATTTTGGATACGGGTGTAAGGTATGGAATATTGGACCGACACACCCCTTCTGCCGGGGTTTTTCTTACTATGGATTTTTTAGGATGGGCTGGAGGTTAGATTTGGTGAGACTCTGGGGTGTCTGTCTGGGTATGTGGGCTTTCGGGTTGGGTGTGCGTTGGGGTAGGGAATAGGGGGGTATTGTTCACATGTGGGAAGATGTACACGCATAGCGAATGGAGTGAGATGGGAGGATGAGGGTGCGTGATGGGATTTAGATTAGGAGCGTGTTGGTATATACCAGCTAGGTACCTTGTTCACTCTCATGGACGAATTGAGTCCTGCAAAGTGTGGGGTGCTGTTTTACGGGCTGGTGGGAATTCTGCGCATGATAATGTGTGTGTCAATGGTAGGCCTGTATTTCAGTAATGAAAGACTTTAGGGAGTGTAGTGTGTGGTCATTGTTGATTGAAATTGCTAAGATGGAAGGGATTGACAACGAGAATCAAGTCCCAAGACATGAGACTGCAAGTTATGGGCACAGCAACTCTGGCAGCAGTGTAAATGAGTGGACTGTTCAAGAATACTAGCTCATGCCGAGTTGAAGGGCTTGTCTTTGCAATATTCTCACTGGAGAGATTCATAGCAGGAGCTGATTATGAAATGTAGTGATGAAAAGTTATGAGAATCAAACAAGCAGAGCTGTAGCAAAGATTGAGGATTCAAGATTTGCAAAAAGTAGTCTTGTTTGTAGTACAGTAGAGGAATGTATCCACTGCGATTGAGCAAGTGAACCAAAACTGCAAATTCACTCCATCGTCTCACCGGCCATGCTCGTACTAGAAGAAGCTGGATAACTTCATTGCTACTTGGCAAGGATCTCTAAAATGAATATATCCACTCACTCCCTTCCGCCTCGCGTGCATTGGATCCACAAACTCGCTGGATGCGGTAGACAGACAAGAAGCCACACCTACCCTTGTATTACTCGATGAATAGAGAGCCTACGTATCTCTCTGAAGTACCGAGGTACTATTCCTCGGTAAAGATACAGTAGAGCTCGAGAGAGAGAATTTTTGTGTAAGAAACCCTGCACTTGTAGTCTAGGTCTGGGTATGCGAAACTAGTCAGTGCCTCGTAAGTGACTCGTACACCGCAAGTGGAGTGAGTACCATATTCCAAGACAAGATAGCTTTGAATATTTGTTGGGAAAATTGAGGCTGCGATATCGGCTCTGAGGGATGGTTTCAAGGAAAGGAGGGGGGGGCGTAGTTCCTGCATGATCGGTCTGCGCGGGTTTCTTGCAACGATCACAGAAGAGATGTCAGATGCTCAAGTTTGTAATTAGATTGACAGGATTTGACAGATTGGACTTGCTTGTGAAAAGTTTCTTTTTCTTTTGGGGCTTGTATCTGCAGGCTACATTCGAGGAATGGAGTGGCAAGTCGACAACGGAACCCTGAAATCTACCCCTTCTTCGCCACCTTCACGCACCCCATGACCTCCCCGAAAAAACAAAGCCCCTCACATCCTCAAACCTAGCCCGCAAGACGAGCCGAGAAGGAACCCAAGTCCACAGTTCCAGTTCGGGACAACATGGTGGATCCACCTTTTCGCTCAGGTACAAAAGTGCATTTTCATCCAGTCGGGCAAGACAAAGCCGTGGTTGCAGCGACGAATGAGCGATTCAGCAAATCAATAGGCTGTGTGGCTCGCATCGTCGCGTCGGAATGTACCGCATAGAGGGAATGACAAGGTGGACTCGGTGCCTGGTGAGACGGCCGTAGTAGTCTCTTGCTGCTTTACTGCTTCTCGCGGCCCATGGTCCGGTCCAGACAGGCTCGATTCGGCCGCGAAATCAGCCATGGAGATTGAACATGGATCTGGGTTGGCCGAGTCCCGCCAGGCGATTGGGAGTCAGGGAGGGGCGGCGCTGTGAGGTCTCGAGGTAGTGGCAGTGTTGCGGTCAGATCAATGCTGCGCTCGGTGTGCCAAGAGCTTCGGGCATTGCTTTTGAGCATGATTGCGGTTGAGCGGTGTACACTTTGCTTACAGTTGCCAGATTCTTGGGAGTATCTCTCCCTACGTGAGATCTGAGATGGCTTCGAACGATCTCGAGGTATACGAGAATGAGCATGAGGCGCTGACTATGCTGCCACTGAAGGTTCGGTGGCACTCGTTCCTACCGTACTATTCAAGTCACTCGAGGAAAAGGTTCGCTCATTGGAGGTGATCCTGAACTAGAGATATTGCCAATGAACACTCGATGCTTCAGATTGGAAGACATCGGGCATACCTGCGCTGTTGCTGTTACGTGATCGCTAGCAGAAGGGTCCTTTCCGATTAGCACTGACTGGCTGTTGAAATGTAGTCCGGATAGGATCCGTTCGCCAGAGACTTTGATCCTAGAGTGTTTCCCCCTGTAATAGGGATCTATAACAACAGTGTAGACGTAACAGCGGATGCGACATTCAAACTTCCGAGACTGGGTTGAGGATCCTCCTTGTCCTGAAAACTCGTCTTGCGTTGCTTGCTTTCCTGTTCAGACTAGAATAGCCAGCACCTCCTCACAGTAATAGTGATTGCTGACCAATTCGCTGACCAAATATTATCCCATAGCATGACAAGAGCTGGCCATGCATAATCCTGCTCGACTTTATGCCCCCCTCTTGCAATTCTGTCTTGGTTGTAATTTATCAGACGCGACCACCATGAACAAGGAGACTGCAGATATACAGTCGATTTTCCAGACACTAATGGTGTTGATGCATGACGAGTGACTAGGAAAGTGACAGGCGTCCCCAAGATCGAATCATCGTTTCCCGACCGCGAAAGGGCGAGACTGGCGCGTGTGGGATATTTATATATGACGTACTAAGCTCACATCTCATAGACAAAATCTCAAGTAGAAACCAAGGGAGGTCTTCAGAGTAAGTGTAACGGATTGTACGACTACATACCTTGTAAGACAGACTGAGTGCGAGATCATAACTCACTAACAGATCATTCTCCGGTGCCATGCAATCATCTTCAGATCATTCTCCCACCTCCCAAGTCCTCTGCTTGAAGGATATGAGCCCATGGACATGGATTTCATGGAGATCTCCTAGACGTACTCGAGAGCGATTCATTCCTCAAAGTGCAGTTGTCATCGTTTGCACCCAAACGCGACAATGCGTATGGTGCATTGAACCGAACCTCTGAATCCTTATAATTCCAGAAGTTGATGGATTAAGGGGTAATATCCAATGGAGGCCACAGCCACAATAGGAACACTGAACGAGACGATGGACTCAGTGACTCGTCGTCTGAATCGTCCGGAGCTCTTGACAGTCACAATCGAAAGAACACTCAATCACTGCGCCGACAGCCTCTAGACACAAGACCAGCAGCTTGAATTACCGATGGCCGAGAGTACTGCGGCGGAGTGAATAGCCAGTGTCGACAGTAAGAAGATTGTGAGTAGATGTAAGATATAACATTGTGCAGGATGATTTACGCACAGCAGAACCACAAAACTTACATCCCCTCACTCCCCCTCCAATCCTCATTTAAGGCGACACCTCCTTCCCATCCCAATCCCAGCACCTCCCCCTCCCCTCCGCCCCCACCCGCCCAACCACACCCAGCAACCGCTCAGCGACCCAATCCCGCTCAAACAACTTCTCCTTCTTAACATTGCCCCAAAAGTCCTTGCTCAGGCCCGTCTTGACAGTGCCGGGATGCAACGCAACGGCAATGGCATTGTCCCCGGACGCCGTGCGCAGATGATTATCAAATGTCTTGACAATCTGGTTCACGCCTGCTTTGGACGCCCGGTAGCTGTACCAGCCGCCTAGGCGGTTATCGCTGATGCTTCCTACGCGTGCGGACATGATGGCTAGGGTGGATGCGGTGGGGAGGCCCTGCATGGTGGATTTGTCTGCATCCATGGATGTGCTTTTTTTGGGGAGCAAGGGGGAAAAGTGTTTGAGCATCAACATGGGGCCTAGGGTGTTTGTCTGGAATGTCAAGAGCGCGTTGTCGGCTTGGATTTGGGCTGGGGATTTCTCGGGGAAGAGGATGCCGGGGACGATGAAGCCGAGCTGGAGGTGGTGAGAGCTGGTTGGGAATTGTGCTTTACATGCAGCAGCGGCATCGGCGATTGATGCTTCGTCTGTGGAGAGCGGTTAATCGCGAGGTTCTGTACAGAGGGGAAAAATAGAAGAGTTTACCTAGCACATCCAGCTTCAGCACTGTCAGTCGGCTTTCATCAACTGGCAGTCCATCGAGCAGTTCTTCCTTGACCTTGTCAAGATCTTTACGCGCTGTAGTGACAACTGGCGCATTGGTACTACGCAGGACTTCTCTCGCAAGAGCAAAGCCAATGCCTCGAGAGGCGGGTGAAATCAACGACCATGGAGCCATTGTTGGATAGTTTCTGCCTCTGATGCTATGAAATCCATAGCAAAGATGGTTCTTCTCATAATGATCAAGCTTATGCGAATGTGGTTCAGACGCGATCGATGATGGCATACATTCGTCCGGCTAACCCAATCTAGTATGACACCAGTCTATTACCACTAGCGCTCCCATGCTGCGAGTAAGAATGTATAGTAGTGTCCTGCTTAAAGCGAGTCTTGATGTGCTTCACTCAATATCACAATCAAGAGCACAAATTTTGCGCAAAGAACCCCCCGTGTAGATAATACCAACATAGCAAGAGAATACCTTACATATTACATACGACATACATTATGTTGAATACTAAATAAGGCCGACAAGGCCACCTACTCCAGCATTGCTATCATCATTGTTCTTGTTCTCGTGATGTTATAATGTATCGTGTCTAATAGAGGTACTATTCCAGGCTTCCATATCGAGCACCTGCACGAAATTATATCCCATGTTGACTTACAAACAAATCATATCTTACCCATTCCTAACCTTTTCTTCATTCTAACTATAGTGTCTTCTTCTGGAAGTGTTGTCTTGTGGGGGGGGGGGGGGGGGTGCATACTATACATTCATATTTACTTCTTACTTTTCACTTTTCGCTTTTACGTTTACATTTACAGATATATCCACCTCCTACTTCACCATGCCCCTGTCCTTCCCCATTCTAATCTCCAGCCCGGATGCGATAAATGAAAAGACGATAGAAAAAAAAAGTATACGCTGAAATGACATCCCACCACAACTAATTCCAGGTCCCTTTGCGGTCCCCTACAATGCCAGAATTCATCATAAGAAAACGAGAAAGAAAGGGCCAAGCAAAGAACCGCAGCTTGGAGAAAACGCAAGGAACGTTACACTTCACGCCTCCCTCAAAATCACCTCACCAATCCCCCTCCAGCACCAAATCCCTACTACTCCACCCTACGCCCACTCCAAACATACCCATTGGAACAACCCAATTCTGCTTCTCGGCATCCCAATAACTAACATCCCTCCGACTGACCTCAAACTTAACCTCCTTCCTCTCGCCCCCGGTGCCATGCCGCTGCTTACCTGCCGTCAACCACACCTTGTCAAAGCCACGTAAGACTCTGATGGGGAAATCCACAGCCCGGCCTGTATACGGATCCGTGTAGTTTTGCGGAAATGAAAGGTAGAGCTGGACGACGGCATGACCGTCGCGCGGACCCGTGTTGGTGACGGAGACACTGACGGTGAAGAGGGTGGTGTAGAGGTCTGGGTTTCCGCCCGGGCCCCCGCCGGCAGCACTGGGTGGGGATGGGGTTTGGGGTTGCGGGGAGGAGGGGGCTTGCGGGGTGGCGAGGTTCGAGGTCGAGTCGAGCCAGGGGTATATGTACTTTTCTACCTTGTGGAAGCCTTCGGGGAAGATGGCGGTTTTGGGGTCGGGGAGCTCGGTTGGGTAGCTGGGTGGTGCGAGACCCGATGGTCGGGGTGCGGGAAGAGGTGTCTTCTTGCCTGTTCCTTGGATGAAGAGCGAAGAGAGGCGGAATTCGGTGTAGCTGAGGCCGTATCCGAATTCGAAGCGGGGAGTAATATTTTGTTTGTCCAAGTGGCGGTAGTCGATGTATAAGCCTTCTTTGAAGTCTTGCTGTGGTGCGAGACCGTCGGACGGGCTAGGGAGATACTTAATTTTACTGCCCGGACCATAGTCCTCTTCCTTCTTTGCGATGGTGTAGGGAAGGCGACCAGAGGGCTCCACATCACCGAACAGTACATCGACGAGTGCGTTTCCAGATTCGGTGCCGGGAAGATTGGCGAGCAGCACAGCTTTCACATTCATGATGTTGATGAAATTCTCCAGTATGACGGGACCGACGGCATGAATGACAACAATCACGTCGCCCATGCCTTCGCCGCAGCCTGCAGCAACATCTTGGATCAGTTGATCACCGCCTTTTTGGAGGAAGAGGTCGTTCCTATCACCGCGGATATCTGGAGCCCGTTAGCTTAGTCTCCCTTGGCTGGATTTACGAACAAGACTTACTCTCATAGCGCTCGTATCCTTCACCAGCGTCAGCATTAGCAAAAACAATACACAGATCTTGGTCTTCAAGGATCTCCTTGGGCTCGGGAAGTTTGTTTTCCGGCCAGTCGGTCACATATACAGTCTCGTTATCGAAAGCATCTCGGATAGCAGACACGGGCTCGATCAGATAGGTGAAGTTCACGGCACCAGAACCCCAGCCCGAAGCCAGAGTGCCGTCGTTGCAACTTTGATCCGAGCAATGATTGATACCCGCGCGAGGGAGGCGAGCATCTTCGCCAAAGATGCCAACTCGGTACTTGGTCCGCCGTTTAGCCTTGGTTTTCTGCTTCCAGCCTTTACGATCCAGGGGTAGTATCCTGCCTTCATTCTTGAGTAGGACTGTGCCCTCAGCACCGATGCGTCGGACCAGGAGGCCATGAGCGTTTTCACCTTCTCCCTGGGCGTTGACAAACTTATTCACAACGCCCATGGATTGATCAGAGGGGCTACCTTGATGGAGCTTGCCAACTCGATCATTAGTCCACGAGGAGAAGTTTGGTCCTTCATCGCTCCACTTGTCCTGTCCGACCTGATACCAAGAAGCAACAACTCGAGTCACCATGTCGTCGACACGTTCCATTGGCACGCTGCCGTTGAGGACAGCCCTGGTCAACTCAGGGCCCCATAGGCTGTCGCCCTTGGCCCATCGTAAGCCATCGCCTGGCATTGTCATGTCCAGACCAGCAAGAGCGCTAGCCACGCCTCCACGTTGTGCGAGCCAGTCAGACTGAACGAAGCCCTGAAAGCCAAGTTCGTCTTTGAGTATGCCGTTGAGTAGCTTGGAGTTTTGGCAGGCATAGGACGAGTTCACCTGGTTATATGAGCACATGACTGACGCAACTCCGGCCCTGACAGAGTCTGCAAATGGCCAGGCATAGATCTCGTGCAGTGTGCGGTCGTCCATGTTGGAGGAGATGGCGTTTGGAATACCCCATTCCCAGGCCTGTCGGAAGTGTTCCTGCTCGTTACCGACGAAATGCTTCGCCGTCGCCATGACGCCTTCTTCTTGGATGCCCTTAATTGTCTGAGCCGCCGCGACGCCCTGAAGTACAGGATCTGAGCCAAAGCCCTCCCAGTTGCGGCCTCCAGCAGGCATACGTCCAAGAGGGCCCATGGCAGGGCCAAGAAGCACGTTGACCCCCTTGGCAGCAGCCTCGGCTCCATGCGCTTTGCCTCGCAGATACATGAGCTCCTTGCTCCACGTCGCACCCACAGTGATCCCAGCGGGAAATGCAGTGATGTTGTCTGCAAATCGTATGCCCAGTGGCCCATCCTGCAGGCACAAGCTAGGAAACTTGAGTCGGGGCACCGCACCGTTGTTGCCCACGCACATGTCCATGCTCCAACCCGTGCCCGTTGTGATGTTGACCTTTTCAGGCAGCGTCATCTGCTTCACTAGTGCCGCTGCCTTCTTGTAGCTCTCCTCCCACGCCTTGTCTGTGCCACCCTTGGGCGACGGGTACCACGGTGGACTCAGGCCATCCTTGGGCGCCGACACCTTCCAGGCCCAGATGCCTCCTGTGGCGAGTATCAGCACCGTGGCGGCAATGAAGACTAGCAGCCAGCAGCAGCATCGCCCAGGCGCACATCTGCCGCTGCGGCGAGCATGTGGGATGGTGTCTGCGGCTTCTGCATCCGTCTTGAACGAGGCCTTTCGTATCTTGAGGTCGCCTGCGCTCTTCTTGCGCCTGATCTTGCTGTCGAAGGCAAGCGGGTCGTCTTCTTCGAGGTCTTCGAGCGTGCCTGTCGAGTCGGTGGAGAAGCGCGTGGGAGTTTCGATCGCGTCTCCGTCTTCTGCAGGTGCATCGATGCGTGCGTATTTGCCCCGACGGAGCTCATGGGACTCGTAGTGCGGCATGGTCACGGATTAGTTCGGTCGGACGCCAGGATGAAGGATCAGTCGCTATGGAAGCCCTCTGGGAAGAGTAAGAAAAAAAAGGAGTTAAGGAAAGAGAGAAGAGAGAGAAAGAGAGTCACGATGTTGGCCCGCAATGACGCTGGCACCCTGTGGAACAGGCGCCCGCGCGTGCAGCCTGGATTAAATTAGATGAGGTGCTATCGCTGGAACATTGAGGGAGGGGAGGGGAAGGTGGTTAAAGTGGTGCCCACGATTTGCCGCCGCTGATAGGTATCACGAAAGAGATAAAGACGGAAGGCGAGATGCAAGTACTTCTTTTTGGGCCAGACGAGGAAAGCAGCAAAGACGAGAAAGACAGGAAAGACAGGAAAGACTTGGGTGGTTGGCTAAACCCGCCAGTCGACATGAAACATGGTGGTAGGATGCCTAGATAGTAAGTAGGCACATAGGTACAGTCGCAATTGTCAGTCTTCAGGGATGTCCCGTTCCTGCCGATCAAAGTGGGCTCCCGAGCCAAACTGCCCATGTCCTCACTAATCACCTAATCGCCCCTAGTCTAGCACTCCCGCTTCGCCGCCGCATTCTGGCCTTTCACCATCACATACACAGTACATATAACTCTCTATATATATAATTTGCATATACCATCTCCATCTTCATCGCATCAGCAAGAAACAGCCAAATGTTCACGTGTCATCATGATCATGAATCTAGTTTTGAAATTCGTTGCTAGCTTGTTATCATGTCAAGTCTGACAGCCAGCCTACACACTACACGTTTTTTCGTCACTTCGATGTCGCATTTCCGTCTCATCATCCTGCTTATCTATGCACCAACCTGGTTCAAGATACCCTGGAGGTTGATGGACTTGGGGCGCTCAATAGGCAGACCCAGTGCCCTGTCCCAGATGAGCTGTGCAAGAGGACCGAGACCGCGGCTGACACCAAAGGTTGCCGTGTAGTAGAGTGTCTCCTTGAATCCGTAGTGGTGGAAGAGAACACCCGAAGACGAGTCGACGTTGGGGAAGGGGTTCTTTGTCTGTATATCGTGTTAGCTAGGGCTTTCATCCTCCAATGGACCTATCATGACTTGCCTTTCCATGCTCGGTGAGCACACCCGGAGCGACCTCGGAGTTCTTCTTGACAAGCTGGTAAACCGGGTTGGCCGCAATGTCAGGGCGGGCATTGGCAAAGTCCATCAGTGCCTCGAAGCGGGGATCGGGCTTCCTCAGCACCGCGTGACCGTATCCAGGGATGACACGCCCAGACTTGAGCACGCTCCAGAGGTAGTTCTTCACGTCGCTCTCGCTGAACTTTTCGCCAACCGACTTTTGCATGTCGATGATGAAGCGAAGCACCTCTTGGGCCGCGAGGCCGTGGAGGGGTCCAGCCAGACCCTGAAGGCCGGCACTGTAACTGAGGAAGGGATCGCTGAGCGCAGAGCCAACCAAGTGGGTTGCATGTGCAGACACGTTACCGCCCTCGTGGTCGCCGTGTAGAGCGAGATACAGACGGAGAAGATCTTGGAATCCCTCATTCTCCTTGCCAGATTTGCCCAACATGGCAGCAAAGTTGTAGGCCCAATCTTGCTCGACATCTACCTCGGCGGGGAGCGCACCTCCACCGCGGTATGCGTTCTGGTAGATTTTGGCGGCGATAGTAGGGAGCTTCGCGAGCAGGCTGATGCTGTCATCGAAGGTGGGCTCCCAGTAGTCAGCCTTGTTGATACCCTTCTCATACGCCTTTGCAAACTTGGACTCATAGTTAAGTGCGGAGACGGCGCAGGCGAATTGTGTCATTGGGTGGAGATCCTTTGGGAAGTCATCCAGCATCTTCTCCACAAACTTCGGGATGGCAGCCTTCTCGGCCAGTTCCCGTGAGAGAGCACGAGTCTGTGCTACCGAAGGAACCTCTCCTGTGAGCAACAGCCAGAACATGGCCTCTGGCAACATTTCAGTGCCAGAGGTACCCTTGGGAAGCTCTTTTTGGCAGTCCTTGATTGTCTTTCCATGGAAGCGGATTCCCTCGTTCGCGTCAAGAACCGATCCTTCCCAGACCATAGCTTTGAGACCTCTGAAGTCTTGTCAGAATCTAAAAGTAGTCTTTATTTTGTTTGCGCATGTGTACCTCATGCCACCCAAGGCATTCTCAACCTTGACATCGCCGAGCTTCTTATCTGCATGTGCCTTGACCTTCTTCAAAAGTTCGCGCTTGGCTGGAAGGACCTTCTTGAAAGTCTCCTTGAGGTCTGGCTCAGAGGATGAAGAGTAGCTGCAGGCATGCACTGTCACGAACAATGCGTCAGTATTGCAACGTCAGAGCCGGGGCGTTTCAATTGCATACCTGAAGCAAATGGGCGTGCCTAAAACAAATGAAATGTCAGTAAAAGGCTCTTCCGGTATGCATATTTCTTTGGAATGCGGACACACCTTTGCAGATCGTAGTGCTCGCGAAGCGGTTCTTGCACTCAACGCCATCGCTGGATAGCTTCAATGAGGGGTAGTTGGGGTAAGGAACTGTGGGGTATCGGTCCTTCGCTATGGTCTATAAACTTTTGAATTGAGATTATTTCCCAATAATCAATGTCAATGGTATGATGTTGCAGATAGCAAAGAAAGAAAGAAAGAAACGGTCACTCTCGGCGACAAGATTTCACAAGGCGCGCGGGATTCGCCCATGCGATACGACGTCAAGGTACCGTACCGAGGGGTAGAGCTCCAACGCGGTTAGAGACGCTGGTTATCCTCGGTTCACACGGAGCTATGGAGAAGCATTGGCGTGTAACAGTGGATATGACAGCCTCGAGACGACACGGTGGAGAGAATTCTGGCCCCTGGTCTGCGCACGGAAAAGGATTTTGGTTACAAGACATTTTGTAGGCGCGGGTGGCAAACATCGCGAACCGTCGTCCTTCCGAAGTCGTCATCAGGATACTTTTCCGGTTGCCACCAGCTTTTGCTGTCGACAGATAGCCGTCTTGATCGCACACAAATCCAGGCTCTTCCGGCTGGTGCCTTTTTCTTCTCGAACACACAATCGCAATGCTGCGTACATTACCTCGCAGCGTCATGCGCCAGTGTCGGTCTGTGCGCGTATCAAGCAGAGCCACACGACATTTCCGTTCGCTCTCCACGACGCCATACCGCATGTCGAGTTCGTCACTCCCCACCGTAGACCCTCCAGTATCAGCAGTTCTACCTGGTGACGCCTTCCAACTGCTCCCTGAAGCATCCAAAGCGGGGTCAGCAGAAGATGCGCTCTTCGAAGAACAGGTACAGGCCGTGAAGGACTGGTGGGCATCGCCGCGATACAAGGGCATACGGCGACCCTACTCAGCCGAAGATGTCGTGAGCAAGCGGGGAGCTCTGCAGCAATCATACCCTAGCTCGTTGATGGCACGGAAGCTGTTCAACTTGCTAGAGGAGAGGGCGGCAAAGGGCGAGCCAGTACATACCAGTGCGTTGTTCAGACACCGTATAGGCAAAATAGTAACTGATGATACACTTTCCAATCACAGTGGGTGCCATTGACCCCGTACAAATGACACAGCAAGCCGCAAACCAGGAGGTCCTCTACATCTCTGGATGGGCATGCTCATCCGTGCTCAGTTCGACGAACGAGGTCTCTGCCGACTTTGGCGACTACCCCTACAACACAGTTCCAAACCAGGTTCAACGCATGTTCAAAGCGCAGCAGCTCCATGACCGCAAGAACTGGGACAACCGGCGGAAGATGAGTGCCGAGGAGCGGGCAAAGACACCTTACTTGGACTACATGCGGCCCATTATTGCTGATGGTGATACTGGGTAAGTCAGGAGATCTTCAAGTCGAATCATGAGCTAACGACGTGGCAGGCATGGTGGCCTTTCGGCAGTGATCAAGCTGGCAAAGCTCTTCGCCGAGAATGGTGCGGCAGGCGTCCATTTTGAGGACCAACTCCACGGCGGCAAGAAATGCGGACATTTGGCTGGAAAGGTTCTCGTCCCAGTCGGCGACCACATCAACCGTCTCGTAGCAGCGCGCTTCCAATGGGACACGATGGGCTGCGAGAATCTCGTCATCGCACGAACCGACTCAGAAAGCGGCAAACTCCTCTCCAGTGCCGTTGACGTCCGCGACCACGAGTTCATCAAGGGCGTCACAGAAGAGACTGAGCCACTCGCCGAGACACTCCAGAACATGGAAGCCGCCGGCGCACCAGGCAAAGAAATCGACCAATATGAAGCCGCATGGGTCAAGAAGCACAAACTCGTCACCTTTGACGAAGCTGTTGTCCAACATCTCGAGAAAGAAGGCGCCGCCCAATCCACCATTGATTCCTACCTCCAAGAAACAAAAGCCAACCCCAACTTCTCCCTCCTCAAGCGCCGCCAAGTCGCAGCGAAATACACAAAGACTCCCGTCTACTTCAACTGGGACATACCCCGCACACGCGAAGGCTTCTACCACTACAAAGCCGGTGTCGAGGCCGCCACCAAGCGCGGCAAGGAATATGCACCCTATGCCGACCTCCTATGGGTCGAAACAGGCGACCCCAACGTTGCTTCTGCCGCCAAATTCGCAGGCGAAATCCGCGCCGAGCACCCAGGCAAGAAGTTTGTCTACAATCTCTCGCCCAGCTTCAATTGGATGGGCCAAGGCTTCTCCGAGGAAGCGCTCAAGAGCTTCGTCTGGGATCTGGCTAAGCATGGCTTCGTGTTCCAACTGATCAGTCTGGCGGGGATCCATTCCACAGCGACCATCACGTGTGAGTTGAGTAGGGCATTCAAGGATGAGGGTATGCTGGCCTATGTCAAGTTGGTGCAGAGTCGGGAGAAGGAGTTGGGCTGTGATGTGTTGACGCATCAGAAGTGGAGTGGGGCTGGATATATCGATGGCATCCTGGGAGCGATTCAGAGTGGGAGTTCGGGGAGTAAGAGCATGGGGGAGGGGAATACCGAGACGGGGTTTTAAAGGTGTTGTGTACCTCATGATGGGATGCAATAGTGGGATATAAAGTGATAATGAATGCAGATTCATTCATGAACATATGGCATATATAAAGGTGATGTTGCTCATAGCTCACTCTTCCTCTTCTCCTCCTCCAAAGGCCTCCTCCCCCTTGCGAACAAGATAGTTCGATAAAACTTCTTGTCGTTGAAACCCATGTACACCTTCTCCGGCATGACTTTGACATCGATATCCACGAACCCGGCCTTGCTAAGGAACTGTTTTACCCCATCAATCGTGAAATACGGGACAACAATCGAATCCTTCATCTTCTTGACCATCTCATCGCTCGTATCGTTGTTATCCTGTTGCTTTGCCTCCTCTTGCGCATGCGCATGCTTCTCCCCGTGTCCATGGCCGTGCCCATGTCCATGCGAATGCCCAACATGATTCCCCTCACTCCCCTCCACCATCCTCCCCTCCTCATCCGCCAAACAATCCCCGCCCTCCAAGAAATCATTAAACACCAACACCCCACCCGGTCGCAACCGCTCCCTCAACCGGCTCGCCGCAAGCACCACATCTTCAAAATGGTGGAACGCGAAGCCCACGGCCGCAAGGTCAAAGTTGTACCACTCTTGGCTTGAGAATTCCGCGGGCGTAGGGTTGGCTTTGTCAAAGAGGTCGCCGTGCACGGCGCTGGTAGTGGACGCGAGGTTGAGGGATTGGGCGCGTGTGTTGTACGAGGTTACCATATTGGGGGATACGTCGATACCGCGGGTTTCGGTTACGTAGGGGCCGAAGATCTGTTTTGGGTGGGTTGGTTATATGTTTTACATGTGTTGTAACTTGTTACTCAAATCCATATGCATGTCCATCTTCATGTCCATGAACCAGACTTGTTCTTTTTCCACTTCGTGGGCTATAATATGCCAGGCTTGAAAGGGAAAAGCGAACCTACCCTAGTCATAAGTCCAGTTCCACACGCATAGTCCAGTAAACGCACTTCTTTGGCGGTAGACTCTGGGGTGTTGACGAATGGGATTCCCACCCAGGCAAGGTCAGAACGGAGTGCGTTTGTGATTTTGTCGTTTACGGGCTTCCACCAAGGTTTAGACTCGTAGGTTTCGGCCATGTCACTGCCAAAGAAAACTGATTAGAAAAGGTTCATTCATTCTCTTTCGTTCTAAGATGGAGAGATTTACTCAAAGAATACACGGTTGCGCTCTGCGGTCGTCATGGTTGAAGATTCTGCAAGGTTTGAGGACTTGGGAACAGAGTAATTCTTGTCAACAATTGGAGTTTGGTTTGAAGAAAAGATGAATGAGAATGATGAGACCTCTGGTACTGGAGTTTGACTCGTGGTTTATATAGTGATGATTGACGATCTCGAGATTTTGGATCTGTGTTCGGAGACTTTTTACAAATATTCCTATTGGCTATAAGTTGGTAGAGAGCAAACACCAGATATGTGTCCTTGTTTGCATCGAAAGCTACGTAACTTCGAAGACATAGCATTGAGCGTGAGTCATACTGGCAAATCGTACTTTGCTGAGAAATTGGAAATGGGGCTATCTTATGGGCTTCAACTAGGCCAGCCTGCAGTGCACAAGCGTGGCTGGAATTGCTGGATGTTGGGATGATGTATGGTTTTGTTTACAGTTCCTGAGTTTCCAGAAAACACTAAGATCTTCTCAATCTTGAATAGATCGCATTAATCAAAAACATGACGCAACTTCGAATAGGCGAAATATGACTTGCATTCACATGCGTTTGGAGCAGATTGAGACGCATCATAAAAGCATGCGCTAAGCCTTAAAGAAAATAGCTCCATCTGGGGTCAACTTCTTGCCTCGGTCCAGCCATCTTGATGCTTCCCGAGCAGCTGCACGCTTGATAACGCGACGACGCATCGCATTGCCGTCTTCCACGACTACAATAAGCAACTTCACATCCGCCATCATGTCCGGCAAACCTAAGATACCTGAATGGCAACGCGCAACTACCGAAAGTTCTCCATCAACACCGTCATCCAAAGTCGAGGAGAAGGAGGTTGAGGTCAAGCAACTCTCGGAGGCACCGACACCTACCGAGGACGACCTTCCGAGTACTGAGAGTGAACAAACAAGCAAATCGCCACGTGAATCACCAGCCGAAGAGGAGAAAGACAAATCACTCGATCTGTTAGAACAAGCGCGGCGATTCCTTGAGGATCCAGCAATACGCGATGCGCCTAGGGAGCAGAAGGTCGCATTTCTAGGGTCGAAGGGTGTAAGCCCTGAGGATGTTGAGACTCTGCTGGGTGCAACGCCGACTGATAATAACTCCATGACTGTAGAGGATGCTGGAGAACGAGCTTGGTCGACAGTAGGTCACCTTGTGCTCAACGCAGGGACGCTTCACATTCAAGTTATGCATACTGATAGTTATAGACACCTCCTCAGCCTGTAGAGACGCCGCAAGCTCCACCACAACCCCGCGTATTGCCTCCAATAGTCACCTACCCAGAGTTTCTTGCCACTACCGAGAAGCCGCCGCCTCTGATGACCAAAGCACGATTAGTGACCACAGCCTATGTCACAGGTGGCCTCATGGCAAGCATCTATGGGCTGTCAAAATACATTATCGCGCCAATGACAGAAAGTCTCGCCGAATCACGGCATGACTTCGCCCAACACACACAAGAACAACTCAAAAAGCTCAATGAGCAGTTAGGGAAGGCAGTGTCCGTAGATCCTGCCATCAAAGCGAAGATCATCAAAGATGTTGGAGAGGACTCAGAATCCGATTCAGATCCAACCGAACTCTACCATCGCGACTATGGCACGCAGACGACACCCACGCTGTCACGCAGGCCATCTGTATCCACCACAGACCCTCAACCCCTTGTGACAGCCCACGAGAATCGTCTAAAGATCATCAAATCGCATCTCCAAGAGCTCGAGTCCAACCGAAAAAGTAGCAGCACATCTCAAGACTCCTTACAAACAAAAGTCTCGGAACTCAGCACATATTTGAGCGAAATGAGTTATCAGAACCAGTACTATTCCAACCTGAACTTTTATGGCGCATCAAGTTATGGCATGAATGGCTCCAAGGACGGGAAAAACGACCAGATTGAAGCTGTCAAGGCTGATATTCGGGCTGTTAAGGGCGTCTTTCTGAGCGCACGGAATTTTCCGACTGGTGGTAACAATGCGCCACCAGTGCCTACAGGCAGAGTGGGTGCATAAATGGGGGAAAGTAGGGAAGTGTATATTTATTCTAGCGGGTTTGGCCATGTTGGCTTTTGGCAAGTGTTCTATGGGTGTTTTGCCTGTGTCTATTGAGGCTAAAGGATAGGAGTACAACTAAGCGTTTTGACTAATCGTACGAAGAAGCGATCAGCTGCCGTGCGATCGGCAAGGGTGCGATCGCCTGTGCAACATGCTGCTTTCAACACTCGTTGACTGATTGCCTAAAGAGGAAGCTTGACATGTTGAGCATACCAGACCGACAGACTGTCTTACATGTGCTTGCGTGTGCTTGCGCCCCACTAACCTATTTGACGTCATTCCTAACATAGCAACTTGGGCTTCCACTTCTCTTCAATGTTTGCTACTCCACAACAACACCCCACTTTCGATCTGACTAGGCTTGCATTCTAATCATGACAAGCTGGGCATCAAAGTTGCCTTCGTTTGGGCAGTCGAAGCATGACGAGAAGGATGAGACGTCACTGACCACGATCCTCACGGCGGAGCAATGTGCCGACCTTACATTCTTGATAGCAACCATTACTGCTAGCATGCGGCAATCTTTACTTGATATATTCACAGCCGAAGAGACGCCATTGGATCCAAAGGAGAAGTTGATCGATGCCTCGACGAATCTTGATCAAGCCGATGTTGCGAAAGAAAAACTCAAGAAGGAGAGGAGGGTACGGGAAAACGATGCTCAAGAAGAGTTAGCACAGCCTGAGGTTCAAGAACTGAAGACAGAGATGTTGAAGCACTTTGATGGGTGGCGAGGCAAGGTCATCTCTAGGGTCGGTGAGATCGTCAACTCGCGCGAGAAAGCTAAAGAGCAAACACGGCACGTGGAGGGTAGAGAAGTCAGACATATCGTCAAGAAGGCCGAGACTAAGATGACTGCCATCAGTAGCTTGGATGCAAAAGCTGTTGACGAAGATACGGTGTTCAAAGAACAGTATCCTCCTGTGACGAATGCTCTCATGCAACTGGACGAGAGCAAAAGAGCGCTTACATTGCACTCTTTGGTCCTGATCCTCCTCAGTCTTGAACATTACTCGGCGCATTCGCGTATTCTACTCCTACATCTTACAAGCTCATTCAACCTCAGTCTCTCTGTACTCAAGAAGGACGAAGAATCTGTTGCACAAGGCCTACTAGAAGCAGCATCCCAACAGCTCAACGCTGATGCTGAGACGAAGAAAGCAGCCGAGCAATCCAAAACCTCCCGGAAATGGAAAGTTGGCCTAGCAGGTGTTGCTGGTGCAGCTTTGATTGGAGTCACTGGTGGTCTCGCTGCTCCGCTCCTCGCAGTAGGCGTTGGAAGTGTTATGGGTGGGCTTGGTCTTGGGGCCACAGCTGCAGCGGGATACCTCGGAACCCTTGCCGGATCATCAGTTCTCGTGGGTGGACTCTTTGGTGCATATGGTGCCAAGATGACGGGGCGTGCTATGGACAAATACGCCCGTGAAGTGGAGGACTTCGCATTCCTTCCTATTCATCACTCTCAGGACCCGGCGCAAAAAGACAATGGCTCTCGTCGTCTCCGAGTCGCGATTGCAGCATCTGGATGGTTGCGTGAGCCCGAAGAGGTCAGTAAACCGTGGCGATATATTGGCAAAGGTACAGAAGGCTTTGCTCTACGATGGGAGCTTGAAGCTCTCCTCAGTCTCGGCCACAGTCTAGAGAGTTTCGTCACCAGTGCGGCATGGGCTTTCGCAAAGAAAAAGATTCTGGAACAAACCATCTTCGCTACTCTAACTGCTGCACTCTGGCCTCTTGGTCTTCTCAAAGTCGCAAGCGTTCTTGACAACCCTTTTAGCGTAGCAAAGTTCCGCGCTGACAGAGCTGGTGAAGTCCTCGCTGATGCTCTTATCAACAAGGTACAAGGTGAACGCCCTGTCACACTTGTTGGCTATTCCCTCGGTGCTCGTTTGATCTACTCGTGTCTCCAAAAACTCGCTGAGCGCAAGGCCTTCGGACTCGTTGAGAATGTGGTATTTCTCGGAGGTCCCTGCCCGTCAGACGCGCCAGATTGGCGACGCATTCGCGCCGTAGTCAGCGGTCGTGTGGTCAATGTCTTCTCAAAACAAGACTATATCCTTGCATTCCTCTACCGTACGTCTTCCGTCCAACTCGGTGTTGCAGGTCTCCAGCCCATTCTGGGAATCCACGGCGTGCAAAACGTCGATGTCAGCGAGCTTGTTGACGGCCATTTGCAATACCGCTACTTGACAGGCTCCATTCTTCGCAAGATCGGCTTCGAAGACGTGGATATAAACGAAGTGGAGCAGGCTGAAGCAGAAATGGCAAAGCAGAAGGAGAAGGAGGAGAAGGAGAGGCGCAAGAATGCAGGAAGCCGGAGTGAAGGCGACGAAGAGAAGGAAAAGGAGAAATTGGAGACGGAGGTTCAGCAGAAGAAAGAACAGAGCTTTATGCAGATTATGCAGAAGAAGACGCAGAATTTGAAAATTGGAGGGTTTGTGAGTGGGTTCGGTGGTGGTGGGGCCAAGGCGGATGCGGGTGTGAAGGAAGGGCAGGAGCAGAAGGTGCAGAAACAAGCTTGAAAGGCTGTTAAGATAATGCTTGTAGATCTGGTCACGAGATTTTAGAATGAACATGTTTAGGTACAAATATTGTTGAATCCTTAGCTATGGAGTGTGGTTGCTGCACGCGGATACTAGTGAAATGTCATGTGACATGATTCCCCCACACCAAACGCTTGATACCACAGGATTGCATAGAGGAACATTGAACAAATACCCTAGCGTTACATCACAATACAGTATAATACCACGAAGTCAAGAGAAAAAGAAGGCGTGGAGTCATGTGATATTTTTGAGCAAATTGGATGTTACACTGGGATCAACCCACATGTTGGCTTTGCTCATAGCAAGCATCAGCAAGCATCTGCTCACTCACTGTAAAATCGGCCATCGTGCCACTATGAACATGGCGTTGACTATATCAAAATAACTACATCCACCCCAACAGCTTTATTGAGACTCTTGGATTCTTCTCTATCAGGCTGGCGTGTGCCTGAATCGCACTTGGACTTTAATTTAGTGTCAGTGACCATATATGGCCTCTTCGGGCCAGTTTGTTTGGGAAGGGGCATAACCCTGTGCCGGGCAATATATTAGACAGCTTTCCAAACGTTTCTTGTTCCCGCCAGAGCATTACCATTTATTTGAACAGTGGATCGTGTGGGGAAGGACTACTAGCATTAGAGGCCGCACATGCTCGATGAGGTATCCTGATGCTTGGCCAATGGTGATGCAAATAGGTGATTTTTAGTAAATGCGTTCTTTCTCGTGAGCAATTTAACGTTTCAAAAGATGAAAAGGGCCTGGCTTTGGCGACACGAAGTGGCGGAGCTCTGGGTGGGTGGTGGGTGGGAGAAGTGGCTGCATGCCATGTTGCACCCCCGTACGCTTGGCGGGCTGACCAGTCGAGCACTGATATATCTGGCGGACCTAGCATTTTCATGCACCCCTCCTCTTTCCCTCTCCACCACAGGTATCGCATCTTCCCGTATTACCCGCTCTTACGCAACTCTGTATTCTTTGGATTGGCTTCTGGTATTTTCTTGTGACTCGTTTTATATTCTTTGGCTACAGTGAAACAGCTGTCATTCACCCTGTTGTCGTCGTTGCCTTCGAATCAGCAGAGCAGCAACAGGGAAGATTCCGGAGGATCCCATAAGATGTTGATGCTCGACGAGATAAACTATAACTTTCAGCCTGTCGATGTGCAGTGCCGCCCCGTGGCTGGCCCATTTTCTGTCCGTTTACCGGCGTCGACCAGCAGCGGTATGCGTGTCCAACCTGAGGGCAGAGACAGGACCATGTCTCCGGGTTTTCCCCAAATGGAACATCGGCTAGATTCACCAGAAGCCGATGCCTATCGCCGCTCATCTTCGCCTCACCGTTACCGATGGCCACTACTGGTGCACCATCAGGCGGCCGTCCACTCACCAGGCAATTTGTTCTTACTTCCATATAGTCGTCAGGAAGTATACCAGCGCGGAACTGGCCAATGTATTGTTGAAACCCGCGCACATTCATCGAAGGCTCACAACGTCAGTCTGCCAGAATTGGCAGACCATGACCGGGACCGGATTCGATACTCATCAAGCGTTCTGTCGGTGCATGGGTACAGACCTCATCACTCTCCAGTAGTCATTCACCAACACGAGAATCTGACACCAGCTGAGAATGACTTTGTTCTCTATCCACCGAAAATTCCGTCACCGTATGAACCAGAAATTGAACGATCCTGGGAAATTCGCTCTCCACAGTCATCAGGACGACCTCAAGCACCGCGACCAAGGCGGCTGCCCACACCTGAGCTGGAAAACTTTGAAGAAGTGGGTTTCTGTGATTGTCGCAACTGCCATGTAGTCGAGGACATCTGTAAGCAGTGTGGCTTGGAGATAGACCCTTTTTCGAGATAGACGTTGTGCACATGGCCTGAGCCTCCTCTTCAAGATCATTGAATGTTACTACCAATATGTGCGCCTTCAGTGATGATGGGGAGGCTACGTTCCTGACGCAACCACAGGATTGCGTCATGGGTGTCGGAAGTATAGTCATTCTTGTCATAGATTACGCATGCTGTTGGCCATTCGCATAGCCATGCCAATATCTCCTCCACGCGGGTGCTACCCAGCTCGGATCACTCCCGATTTGATGGTAGCATAAGCAAAGTGATATTCCTCGATTGTCTTTTGACCGGAGCTTGCTGTCTGCTATACTGACGTCGTTTATTCCATTGGCTCGCAGGGAGATAAGGAACTCAATTGCTCTCATTGCAAATCGTGATCCAGATTTTGCGGCGTAAGGACAATGACGATGCATAAGGGTACTTTGAAGGACGTCGTGGGGAGATGTACCATGTAAAGCCCCATCCTACCAGTTTGGACCAAGAAGCGTGGGTGAGATAGGGCCAGAATGGAAGTTATGTACAAACTGGTTTGCATTCTCGTGCATGTGTACCAATGCAAAGATTTAGCTCATTAGAGCTATCATAGGACGTTCATTCCTGCGGACGCTCGCTCTCGACTACGAAGTATTTGCCAGATTTGCGTTCTGCAGAACCAAGAACATCCCAGTTCTCAACATCGCTAGCGTCCACAGGTGTCGTGTCCCTCTGTATGCGCTTATGGTGCACCCCTATGACCTTCTCCTTGCTCAACGCCTCCTTCAGCGTGTCCAAGGAGATAGTCTGTTCCTCTTCTGCCTGCTTCGTCTCGTCTCTCAGAGCTCGCAATGGCGTCACATCTGTTGTGTCCACCTCTTGTATCTTGCCCACAAAATGCAGTTGCGCTGCTAGCGTTTCCAGCATCTTCTGCTCTTGTTCAGGCGACTCTGGTGGCGGAAGCGCTGACAGCCGGAGAAGGTGGTGAAGTTGCTGTGACGAGACACGTGGGGCATCGGGCGCGCGCGTTTTAGGTGGTAAGAGCGATTCGACAGACCATGTTGGCGCTGAGAGAATCTTTTCAAAATTGGCCGGATCAAGGCCATTGGGTTCATGTACATTTGCTGCCTTCTCTGGATTTTCGCCAGATCTTGCTCTGGACATGCTAAACGAGCGTATTGGCCGAAATTGTACAGACTGCCACATGCTCCTTTGGAATCGAAACGCGTGAAGAGAAGCCATGTCGAAAAAAATCTGATTAGGGTGGCTTTGCCAATGGGGTAATGTGGGAAATTTATCAAGTCAAGACATGAGGATGTGTCGAGCTCAGTAGAAGCCGGGAAAAGCTCAATATGTGTAAGATGAGCTGGTATGGTGTTTTCGGCAATGCCATGTCGTCAACTTCGGAAGTGTACGTTGGTATGGAGCTAGTATTGTTGCGGGATAGCCTGCTTCAGCCTTCACGTACGCGCACGGGCGTTGGCGTGGGTCGTCATTGCTTTCGAGACACATACTGCAACCACTTGTTTCGACCATAACTCTCAACCACGTCTGCCTACCTTATTGACTATTTTCAGTTTCCCTTCTCACAGGCAAGAATTATCACCGTTATTGCTGAATATCGCAACCATGGCCGGCGACCCACGAGCGCTGCTCCGTCAGGTGGGGCTCACTTTGGGAACTCAGCCACAAGGCAGATAGCTGACATCGTGGTGCAACAACAGGCAGAGACGTCTTTGCAGAAGGCTTCTGGGGGGTTCAGCTTCTTTGGGGGCCGACAGGACAAATGTAGGCTCAGAGGTATCCTTTCAAGGCCGCAACTTTATTGATGCACGTGACAGATGAGGCGGCTGCTGAGCAGTTCATCGCTGCAGCGAATGCTTTCAGAATGCAAAAAATGGGTATGTGGTATGAAGTTTTGATATGATAGATTGCTCATGCATACACAGGCAAGGAAGCTGGTGAGGCATTCGAGAAGGCAGCATCAGTTCAGCGTGAACAACTGAACGAGCCCGATGATGAGGCGAACACACTCACAGAAGCTTTTAGTACGTTAAGATCGGCCCTTCTGATATCACAAAGCTTATGAAGTAATATAGAGGCCTATCGAAAGGATGACCCAGAGTCAGCTGCAAGGTGCTTGGACAAGTCGATCGCGCATTACTGCAGCAAGGGTAACTTCCGCCGTGCTGCAACTCACAAGCAGAACCTTGCCGAACTCTTTGAGAATGAGTTGGGCGACAACACTCGTGCAGCGGCCGCATACGAGGAGGCCGCTGGCTGGTATGAGAGCGTAAGTTTATATACATCTGCCTCGGCTTCATGCGGAATACGGTAGATTACCATACTAACAACTATACAGGATAATGCCGAAGTAATATATGCCCAAATTTTCTTGAGTTTCGGATAAGACTAATGCATGAAAATAGGCGCTTGCTAACAAGCTGTGGCTGAAAACTGCTGATCTCGTTGCACTCGAGGGTAAGGACTACTACAAAGCCATCGAACTGTATGAGAAGGTGGCAAAGACATCCATACAGAATAACTTGATGCGATGGTCTGTCAAGGAGTACCTTTTGAAAGCCGGTATCTGCCAGCTATGCACAGGTGATCAGGTTGGCGTAAACGCAGCACTCGACAGATACAGAGAGCTCGACCCAAGCTTCGTCCAGCAGAGAGAACACCAGCTTCTGGTCGATTTGACCGCCGCTGTCCAGGAAGGCGACCAGGAAATGTTCGCCGATAAGGTATGTAGCCCTTTCGCACCTACACCCTTTACAAAGCTAACACAACCCAGCTATTCCAATATGACCAGCTGAGCAAGCTGGACAAGTGGAAGACTACGCTCTTGTTGCGCATCAAGAATACCATTGAAGAAACGGGTGAAGATTTCTCATAGGCTATAGTTCATATGATTCGGCGTTTGTTTGCACATGCGATATCTTGCCTCCGCGCTCATCAGTTAGACATGTACTTGAATCAAGCCTTGTAATGTCTCCTAGTATCTGGTGCCTCATACCCCTTGAACACCTTCCAACCCTTTGATTCCTCTTATCACGACCAAACGTTACTTGTGTCGATGTTGCGCTGTTTCTCACATCATTGCATCCCTGTTTTCATTCGCACTCTGGCAGCAGAAATTTCTGGAACTGTTTTGCCACGTCGTGGCCAGACGGATTCGTTGCCATCTATAATGACAGTTATACTGCGCGCTGACTTTGCCGAGTCGACGTTTGTCAGGGGATGAGAAGCCAATTCCTTTCCTTTGTATTTGACAAGCCAGCTTCTGAATGTGAAGAGCGTTTGCAGATGACTAGGGGACTGTCGCATGATTCATTCACCACGTAAGGTGTGTTTGGAGCGGTACAGTCGAGTTTTGGTCAAATTGGATTTTTCTGTTCCTGGAGCTGGAGGAGGAGACTATGCGTGTACGGGTTACAAGTAATGGGATGTGATCAACTTTTGACCAGTGAAGTATGCACCTGGAATATCAGAAGAATTGATATACATGTAAATAGTGATATTTTCAGGCACAGTCTAATGCTACATACAAAGTGCGATGAGCAGCATCTATAAAAGAACAATGTCAAAGACGTTTAAATTGTAAGGGGATGGACATCAATCTTATTCCCAGGAGGAGTGTCATTTATCAAACATGGTGTTCATACGAGGCATGCATTTCCCTACACACCAAGTTTACAACTCAATGTTCTCAACAAAGGGTTCAAGGCGCTCCTTGAGGTCCTCGATCGTCATCTCCTCACCATCCCAGAAGACCTGCTCGCCGCTAGCAGCATTCTTCGGGGGGATCAGGACGTCAGAAACGACCTGTATGACGCCATCGCTAGCAACACCATCGTGCACAGTGACGCGGGAGAAGCCATTGATACGAATGGACACGAAAGGTCCGTACCGGGCAACGTCGACGGCGAGGTATTTGTCGCTGAGCACAGTGGGGAGATCGTAGTGGTAGTATGGTGGACGGTTGGCAGCCTTGGCATCCTTGTTGCCAGTGTGATCGATGAATGCGTCAGTGTATAGTGTCTGGTCAACGACGATGTGGTATTTGAGAAGCGCTTTCAGGTACTTCTCACCGTACTTGCTGAAGAGAAAGGCGTTGACGCGGGGACCAAGCTTCTGGAAAGCGAGGTTGGAGGGCGCGAAGAATGTGCCGCCTTCGTGGGGGTAGTCGGTGCTGTTGATCTTTTCCCATAGACCGGTCTTACCGAGAGCAAGTTCTAAGGTGCTGAATTCGCCGGGGAGTAGGTTGACGATGGCAGCGACGTTTGGTGGAGGGACGAGGAGAGAGTCGAGTCCGTGGACGACACCGTTGGTGCCGAAAATATTTACGGCTACGAGACGGCTGTAGAAGTTGATCGCGGGCCCCTTGAGTGTGACACGAACGGTAAGACGCTGCTGGTGCCCGAGAAGGTGCTCTGGAGTGTAGAGCGTGGGGATGGTGTAGCTCTGGAGCACACGGGCGGCGGGAAAGAAATCATCAACGACATGGTATAGAAGAATGTCTCTAATAGCCTCCTTTGAAGGCTTGTGGCCATGTTCAGGGATTTTCTCGAAGGCCTCATCCGTTGGGGCAAAGACAGTGTAGTTGGCCTTGGTGCTATTCAGTAACTGGACGAGATCGTCGTATTCGTTGATCAGCTTAGCGAGCTTTGTGGTGTACTTGCTCTCATTAATGAGCTCGTACACAGTTCGATTGGGCTTTCCATGATCACCATGGTCGGGCTTGTCATGGTGAGGCTTCTTGTGATGTGGTGGATCATCCTCTGTGGGCGGATGAGGGTGCTCCTTGAAGTCGATAACGCTGTCATCGAACGACGAGCCTTCCAACCATGATTCAACGTCGCAGCCAGTGTCATGAATCTTGCTGTAGATTTCCTTGCTAGCATCCTTGATTTTGCTGAAGGCATCATCGAGAACGTTCTGGGCATTGTCGACAATCGACCTGCTCGATTTCTCAAGATCTTGGAAAACCTGAGCGTCAGTGATAACAAGAGCGGATGCCAAAGGCAAAAGCGGTACGATGCGTGTGAAGCGCATGATGCCAAATGATTAGATGATGCTCGAAGAGAAAGAGTAGTAGAGCTGGGGATAGATCAAGATGTAGGTTCCAGGCAACTGGATGGTAAGATGAATCGATTACAACACCACTGGGTGGCGATTATGATGAAGGTGGAGCGCTCGGCAACGATCCGATTGCACAGACAAGGACTCAAAGCGAACAAGGTGGCGGATAGAGTCAAGTTAACGACACAACACAACTTCGCATGCGTGATGATATGACCGATCAAACACAAGTACGAAACCTGGGGTGTTTAAGAAGTCTTCTAAAGTACATCGGAAGCTCATCGAGCACCGAGGCCGAATGTCTGACAGGCTGCCATAACGCGTGTCTGTCGGGGTCCGAGTGCGGGGCTGTGCGTTCACTGGTCGTAGACATGATGATGACGCAATGCTAAACTACCGTCACAATAACGGCTTACACAACGACATACCAGCCAATCCGCACGCCATTCTATGGCTAGCATGGTACTAGAGAAGACGAGAAGTGTTGAGAAAGATGGTGTCTCTTTGGAATCGAAGATGAAAAATAAGGACCTAAAGCATCGGTCACGTCACGTGGTCACGTGGGACAGCATTCATGTTGTCTTGGGTTCAGAAAGGGCAAACAGCAACTGCACCACTACTACTACTCTAGTTGGCTTATGCGGGACCAAGACTTGTTCTATTTGATCACTGACAAAAAAGGGCCCTTCCATCGTCACGCTATGAGGTCTTAAGGACCGTGTCCTACTGAGACTAGATCGCTGCAAGCCTGTCCGTCATCATAACTTACTTCATGGTGCTTGTTCCCCTGAGTGCGTTTGGAAACATGACAACGCTTGAGAATTGCGGACAGTCGATTGGTGTAAGAGAGCAGCTCCATTCTATACCAAAATCAAGCGTTACCAAGCATTGGTCAACCTTTGACGGTAGGACCCCTGCTGAAATTTGTATCAGTTACCATGGTACGTTCGTAAGAATGCGCAAAAAGCGTCGTCATGTTCCTCAATCAAACAGGTAGAGCAAAAGCGTGCCTTCCTGCTCAATCTGTCGAACACTTTTCAACTCGCAAAATCCCCTCCCTCCCTCCAAATCCCGCTATTCACACAATACATGTACAACAATGCCTCTCGCTCGCCGTGTTGATCCAGATCAGTTTATCGAACACTCTGCGGCCATCCACTGCACAAGGCTGCTGGAAAGAAGGGTCGTGATCGAACAGTCTCTCATATTACGCCATACTCCACTCGCTATGCATTTGGTACCGAGCTGTCCACATTCAAGATTCCAGCAGAAGGAGTCCCAGCAGATGTTGTTCATCGATTACTCAAGGATGAGCTTGGCCTAGATGGACGACCTAGTCTGAACCTAGCCTCTTGCGTAGAAACTTACATGGAGAAGGAAGCAGAGCAACTTATGGTAGAAAACTTGTCCAATAACATGTCAGATGCTGATGAGTATCCAGCCATGATAGATATGCACACACGCTGCGTCTCTATTCTTGCTCATCTCTGGGGTGTGCAAAAGGGGGAGAAAGCCATTGGCTCGGGGACGACAGGTTCCAGCGAGGCCATCCATCTTGGAGGACTGGCAATGAAGAGGCGCTGGCAAGAGAAGCGTAGAGCAGAAGACAAGGATACGTCCTCACCCAACATCATCATGGGTGCCAATGCCCAAGTGGCGCTAGAGAAGTTTGCCTGCTACTTTGAAGTTGAGGCTCGCATTCTTCCCGTGAATGAGGACTCATCATACCGTCTGGGCCCCAAGCCAGTCAAGGAGAATATTGACGAGAACTCCACTGGTATATTCGTCATTCTTTTGTCGACATGTACCGGGAATTATGAGCCTGTTGAAGAGATCTCCAACATCCTTGACAAATACGAGAAGGAGACTGGAGTGGACATCCCAATCCATGTGGATGGAGCTTCGGGGGCTTTCATCGCGCCATTTACACACGCAAAAGCTGGTAAGAAGTGGAACTTCGAACCACCTCGCGTGAAGTCTATCAACGTCAGTGGGCACAAGTTTGGTCTGGTGTATGGTGGTGTTGGCTGGATCATCTGGAGGGACGAGAGCTATCGACCAAAACACCTTGTCTTCGAACTACACTACCTTGGTGGCACTGAAGATTCGTACAAGCTCAACTTCTCACGTCTAGGTGCACAGATCATTGCGCAGTACTACAATCTGATTCACCTCGGCTTCTCCGGATACCGTAACATCATGGGAAACACATTGGCCAACGCGCGTCTGCTGAGTAGAGCACTCGAGTACACTGGCTGGTATCGTTGCGTTTCCGATATCCACCGTAAGAAGGGTGATTTGAAGTATGTCAAGGGCAAGGCCCAGTAAGATGAGGATGATACGAGTGCGGGTTACAATGCCGGTCTTCCCGTCGTTGCTTTCACGCTCACAGACAACCTCCACAAGAAGGAGTTTCCTCACGTCAAACAAGAAGCAGCCAGCAATATGTTGCGTGCGAAGCAGTACATCATTCCTAGTAAGTCTAATATCGCAATTCGCTGGGTAAAATGGCAATTGACATGTACAGGCTACCCCCTGCCGTCAGGTGAGGTGAAGATTGTATTCTCAGAATAGTTGTACGCGAGAGTTTGCCTCTTGACATGATCGATCGCCTAGTGAAGGATATCATCAGCATGACAGAGCTACCGATGAAAACGGACGCAGTTAATCCCGCTGCTTTTCAACCTTCGTCGGCTAGTATTGAACAGCAGCACGCAAGCCCTGGTCTGCAGAAGAAACACGAGCACAAGGCGAAGAGGCCATCCCACAAGAGCGTGTATCGGGCAGTATGCTGAGTTTTGATGACGAACCCTACGTGGACACTGAAATCACCACTGCTGGTGCGGCATGATCTTACGAGTAGCACATGTACAAGAGTAATGTACGAAATCGAAAAAATCGTTCCCTGTAATGAAATCTGATCTCTTTGGGAAGGCCACAGGACGACGAATACGACACGAAGCTACACGACGTTGCGCAGATGAAAGAACTGCGGAAGAACTGCCCAATGATTTGTGCAAACACATACTCCAGTCAGTGGTCATGACGCCAGCTGCCTACAACAGTCGAGATGAGACTTTCTTTGTTCCTGGCGCAGGCTCAGTGCGTGCTGTATGTAGACTAGGTAGGATCTGTGCGATAGCTGCGATCCTTGCGGATGGCCTAGCCACTATCGACAAGTCGTACAATCAATCCATCTCATGCAAGGACTGGGCAAGAGAAATGCTACTGCAGAAAGTCGCCGTGGCCTTTTTCGTGATTCTATCCAAGTGGGCCAAATCAAAGACAGTGTTTGCGCAGTACCGGTATGCAGCCACTTCTGATCCTAGCCCAGCACCTGACAGTCTCGCATACTATCCTGTGTGTGTATTAGGGTGACTTGGTTGGCAGGTGAGCTACCATGGTCCGCTTCCGTGTGTACAAGAATGGCCCACGCATGCCACGTGCACTTTCACCATTGACCCCGTGTCCGTCTCCCTGGAGTTCTTTGTTTGGTGTCGAATGCATGGTAGCGTTCGTTCATAGCCGGGTTTCGTGCCCGAAGAGGCCCGGAGAGGCCGTTGGAAATTGAGAAGGGGAGCGTGCGTCTACGTGTCTCGATACCTAGTACTTACATGGCATATGGTACCGGTACGTAGAGTATGCCTCTCGTGCTCTACCAAGGCGACACAGCATAAAGAAGCACAAGCTACCTGCCCACTGATCGGTCGACTGTGTATGCGAGATGGAAAGCAAGCCAGACTTGTGGCACGCCCATGGCATCGAGTCAGCCAAATGGGGCCCAGCTCCACGTGTTCCCGCACGCCTGAATCGCACACGATTGCCGTCTGCACTCTTGGTCGATGCATATCGAGATCAGATCAGTGTTGCTGCCAGGTTGTCGATTCGATTTGCGCGCCCTGCGTCTGTGGGTCAAGGTCGGCGGCCAGGCAGGCATCTAGGTACTTGGCGTAGTATGTACATCGTTGTAGTACTGTACGTACACTACTACTACTACTACCAAAGTCTAGTACTATGCATGCATGTATCATAGTCGATAGGTAGCTACTATAGAGTAGAGTAGAGTAGGTAGCTGGCCTGGGCTCGATGTGGGCTTCCATGGTTGACACTGGCTCCACACTAGCCCTCAATCGGCCTGATGATGGACACTCCCATGGGCGCACAAACACAAGACAAAGTCGCGATCTCGTCGACTCTCCATGACAGCACGACCATCGCCAGCCAGCAGAGTTTTGCGCCACAGCATCGCGGCCCGCCCGCCCCTCTCCCCTTCAAGTCCCTCCCCTCCAACTTGTAACCCCCCAAGTCGCTTGTCCGCTACGTTCCTGCAGCGCTCGGTGGCCAATGGCGGCTCTGCGCCCAACCAGCTACCCACGTCATATCCTGGTCGGAGAGGCTGCCAGCAAGCATCACCATTCACCAAACCCTGTGCCGGATCTCTCTCCTCTAAGCTCTTGTCCCCCCCCCCCCTCCCCCTCTCCAAAAGCATCTGAGCAATGGCCTGGGTGGAGATAGTCTGACGGAAGCTCCGTTTGTCCTTGCCTTCCATCATGCATGTCATGACGTCTCACGTGTCGTGGTGTGGTGTCTCTGTCCCTCTCCCGTCTGCTTAGGTAGCACCGCAATGCTCTTCACACTACTACCCAGCACGCGCATCTAGCTGGGATTTATGAATCGCCTTACTTTGATGTTGCGCCGCAGTTGCTCCTGGCCGCTGTGCAACACCACCTGCAATATCCTTCTCTGTTCCTCCTGCCATTCATGCAACTTCACCACTTCTGGCGAAAAGCACTCCACCATGGCCGTTGAGAAGCCACGCATCCTCTTGTATATCCTGCGTCGCGACGTTCGCCTCTCCGATAACCCAGTATTCCATGCTGCTTCGCAACAAACACGGCTCAATACAGCAGCGGCTGCAAAAGCTGCAAACCCATCTCCCCAGTCTGATCGGCGAGGGCGCGATGACTCGTTGACCTCGGAACATGCCAGCACAGATTTCACCCACCTCCTACCCGTATACGTCTTTCCCGCCAACCAGGTCGAAATATCTGGATTCCTCTCCAGCCCTTCTGACAAGAATCCATATCCTGAAGCTCGCAGCCAAGTGGCCAAAATATGGCGAACTGGTCCTCATCGCATACGCTTCATGGCCGAGGGAGCCTGGGATCTGAAAAGGAAACTGGAGAGTTTGAAATGCGGATCAGGTCTGGAAATGAGAGTGGGAGCAATCCCTGACGTAGTATCCAATATTCTTGAATGGTATTCGAAGCAAGAGGATAGCAAAGGCAAGGTAACTGGAGTATGGATGACCGACGACGACGGCACAGAAGAGAAGAGCGACGAGAAAACCTTGAAGTCACTCACAGAGAAGCATAGGGTGGACTTCAAGGTATACAGAGATGAAAAATATTACGTTGATGAGTGCGTTATACCTGCACTCGTACAATTCCGAGTCTAAACTTGGAGAGAAAACTGCTAATCCACCCCAGCCGTGATTTATCATATAAGAACATCTCAGAGTTACCAAACGTCTACACATCGTACCGAAAGGCCCTCGAACCGCTGCGTGATCGCCCACGCAACGAATTTCCAGCACCGACCCAACTCCCACCATTACCCGAGCACATTCCCCCGCAACAACGACCATTCACAATTCCCGATAATTTAGATGCATTGCTGCAAGCGCTGTCATCTCCACTCGAGAAAGACCCGACGTATACCTTGTCAGAGCCACCGAAATACCCAACTGATGTTCAGTCTGCACATCCCTTCGCAGGAGGCGAAACATCAGCGCTTAACCGCGTCTCACATCTCATCTCATCTGGGGCTATGAGCTCATATAAGGAGACGAGAAACGGCATGCTTGGCCTTGATTTCAGTACTAAACTGTCCGCATTTCTTGCGCAAGGACACTTGACGGCAAGACATGTGCATTGGGCCATGTTCGATTTTGAGGAAGGCAGGGGTCCTGGCAAGGACGTCAAAGGCTACGGCCAGGGCGAGAATGCAGGGACCGCAGCCGTTCGTTTTGAACTTCTATGGAGAGACTACATGCGCCTCTGCATGCGCAAATTCGGCGATCGAATGTTCCACTTGTACGGTATTCAGAATCAAGACGCCAAAGACGGCAATAGACCACAGATGAAGAAGTGGAAGAAATTGGATGGATCTGGTGGTGCAGGAGACGACCCGAAGCAAACTTTGGAGGCCTTTACTAGATTCCGCTCAGGACGCACCGGCGTTGGTCTCATTGATGCGTCGAATCGAGAATTGTTCGTTACAGGATACACATCGAACCGAGCACGACAAAATGTAGCTTCCTTTCTCGCATCACACCTGAATATTGACTGGCGCATCGGCGCTGAATGGTACGAATGCTTCCTTACTGATTACGACTGCGCAAGCAACTGGGGTAATTGGCAATACGTCGCCGGCGTGGGCAACGATCCACGGCAAGGCCGTGTGTTTAACCCAGTCAAACAAGCATTCGATTACGATCCAAAGGGCGAGTACATCAAGGCATGGGTTCCAGAGCTACGAGGCATCAAATTGACCCGAACGGTGGGCAACGGCAAAGAAGAAGTCGACCAACAACGACTGATGAATCTGTTCCAAGCGTGGAGGCTGAGCGACTGGGAAAAGAACAATCTAGGCCTAAAGGGCGTAGAATGGGTCGAGCAACCATTGACTAAGATTCAATTCACAGTAGGGCGCGGTCGAGGAGGTCAAGGCGATAATAGGCCACGAAGAGGAGGGGGTGGCGGACCTGCGTGGCGAGGAAGAGGAAGGGGTGGCTCAAGTCAAGGTCCAAGTCAAAACTACGGCCACGGCAGCCATGGCTACGGTCAAGGGCAAGACCGGAATTACTCACAGGGAGGCTATAACCACTGCCACACAAGACATGAACAGGGCCCCACGATAGTGAGCAGTGGGTAGAGAGCACCGGCATGTTTGTCGTTACCTTTGGATCAAACTTGTACAGTGTGACCTTCTACTTAGTGGAGTTTATTTATTGACGTTTAATTCTGGCGTTTGCGAGCATCTTTTCATATCGGCGCGTACTAGAAAATGCATTTCATCCGTACCTATTTTAAACACTCGGTCTCACCATTCACAATGGGTGTCTATGACCGATCTATTTTTAGCCTGGACCATCTCGGACATGGCAAGTTGCATTGGCAAACTCTCTGAGTATCAAGGCTGTTTCCAAGAGCCCTAATGGATACAAATTAAAAGTGCTTGATTTCGACTCAAGTCATCAAAGCCCCTTTTTGGGGGTTTCATCCACAATCATATATCGTATCCCGAACTGTGAAACTCTCCTTCCGTTTAGTAAAAAGGGCCGCGGTCCCACTCACCGCCGTGCTTATCGATAGCACACACACCTATCCAAACATATCCACCAGGCCAAGGCGAACACTGTTTGCCAATTGCAAACTACAATCGCTGTAAACCAGTTGCTTGAGCGGTCACATCTCCTTTCTTCTTCTCGCTATACATTCGCTTTTCGTTTACAGCAACGTGTACACACACACACACACACTACCATGTCATCAACCGACTCGTCAGGCCCGCTCTTCAGCTCCGACCTCATCTCCCCCGAAGTCCTCAAGGCGCTGCCCGAAGGCTACAGCTGCCGCCCATTGGAGAAGAAGGACTATGCGAATGGTTTCCTCGATGTATTAAGGGTGCTCACTACCGTTGGCGACATCACCGAAGAGGTATGCACATAACCCTCTTCACCCTTAAACCTCACCCCTCCCCGCTCCCGGCCCTGCACATGCACTTCCCACTTCCCGCAGAGCGTATCCTCTCCGACAACTAACCCAACCTGTGAAATACCACCAGCAATGGAACGAGCGCTACGACTGGATGGCCAAACGAAACAACGAATACTACCTCCTCTGCATCACCGACTCGTCCTCTGCCATCGTCGGCACCGGCGCCCTCCTCGTCGAGCGCAAATTCATCCACCAACTCGGTCTCGTCGGCCATATTGAAGACATCGCCGTGGCCAAGGACCAGCAGGGGAAGAAGCTGGGGCTGCGCATCATTCAGGCGCTCGACTTTGTGGCGGAGAAGGTGGGCTGCTATAAGACGATTTTGGACTGCTCTGAGGCGAATGAGGGGTTCTATGTCAAGTGTGGGTTTAAGAGGGCTGGGTTGGAGATGGCGCATTATTATGGGCGGTGAGGGGGTTGATGTGCAGGATCGGGGTGGGGAGGTTTTTGGAGAGGGTGGTGGGGGAGGATTTGGGGGTTTGCATTTTAGGCGTTTTTCCTATATCAGGTGAGGCTTGGCCTGGGTGGACTATCTGGAGGATGGGAGGGTTATGCTTATAGAGGGATATCGATGGTATAGATGTTTTGGTAGAAGCAGCCAAAAATATATATTCATATATATGTATGCTTGCCAGCAGAAGAATCAGCTCTTAAGTTATAGTATCCATGGAACATGACATGGTCTGCTGAGTTGAGAGATTCATAACGGTATCAGTCTTTCTCTTCTATTCGTACAGATATTTAGAGTATTAGAGTTGGGATTCTGGACGATGTACTGGAGTTAACTGCATTGTGAAACGGGAACTAGTTGACACATCTAAGGTACCTAGAGGTCGATTTTCTCGCTTCGTCTCCACCACCAATTGCGACATCTTTACTTTACCATTGACATGATGAGAACAGCTTCACAACACTACAAATAATTTTCCTTGAATCTGGAATATTCAATTAATTTTCTAAAATTTACCCATCTACGAGCATCGGTTGAGGTCCAGATTGCAGAGGAGAGCGCACCTGCAAGAAAAGAGCTATAATTGTAAATCATGAGCCAGAACATAGGGGAAGCTGAAATCGACATCGACGTCTCAGAAAACACCATCAAAAGGCAATCCACGAAAGAATCAAAGAAACCAACCGACAAGCCCACGATCAAGGATATCCCAGGCCACCAATTCCAACCCCACGACCTCTCCACCGCGCCCTCCATCCCCTCTGACCTCCCCCCAGAACTCTGGACCATTGTGCAATCTTGCCCCGCAAACTTTACCCCAGACTTCTTTCTAGACACTAGTCGCAACCTGCTCGAAAACCCCAATCTCACAGCCTCTTCCTTGTCCCGCGCCGAGCTATCCTACACCAGCTTCACAGATGCAACCTTTAACCCAAAGGCAACCACACCGGAAGATCTGGCCAGTATAGTGAAACACTTGCGCCCGGAATGCCGACCACGATTGGTAGAAGGTGGAATCCCAGGATATGAACTCGAATGGACGGTGGTTAGGAAATTGATACCGCGGAATCCAAATCTCGATGCCACGTTGATGCAGACATGTCATTTATACATTTCGCACCGCGACATCACCATCAGCTATCCCACTGGATCCACCACCACCACTGAGACCGTGAAAGCAGACCGCTACATGATAATCTACATCCCGCACGCCACCACCCCAGACCAAATCCCATACTACCACCCCCAAGTCTCCGCCCTAGCCATGCTCTACACCTACCTCCCTACCCACACGCCATCATCCTCCCTCCTCCCCACCCCAGGCCACCTCTCGATCCACTACCACCTCTTCCCCGCCCACACCCTCACAACACGACTCTCGCGCACCGCGCTCAAACTCGCCGAAATCATCCACAAGCACTCGCGCGGCAACAGCGGCGGCTACCAGAAGCGCGTCCACCACGACCAGATTGTGCCGCAGAAGCGGTTCCAGGATACGTATGCACGGCTCAAGAGATGCTATGCGCGGCGCTTGATTGAAGGCTGGGTCGAGCAGACGCCGGCGGAGAAGCATGTGTTTGAGGATCTGGGGATTGCTGCGTTTTTGATCGAGGTTTGGGTGGATATGTATGCTGAGCAGTCTGAGCCTAATTCTCACTCGGCACAGTGCAGGGCCGTAGTAGCAGAGCCATGCGTTGCTGAAACAAAGCACACGAGTGTCTCTGTCGCTGCTACCAAATCCGCCGCCGCCAAAGGAAAAGGAGAAGAAGAAGAAGAAGAAGAAGAAGAAGAAGAAGAAGAAGAAGAAGAAGAAGAAGAAGAAGAAGAAGAAGAAGAAGAAGAAGAAGAAGAAGCAAGAAGACAACAAACCCTCATCGCCTCCGCACAGGCAAACTTCCCAGGCTTCGTAGACATTGGCTGTGGCAACGGGCTACTCGTCTACCTTCTCAACGCCGAGGGCTGGCACGGCTGGGGCTTCGACGCCCGCAAGAGAAAGACTTGGGATACCTTTCTTCCTCCTCATACTACTACAACGGCGCAGGACACGGAGGCAGATACACCGGGGGCCCAACTCGTCAGGCAAATGCTTCTTGTCCCGGAGATCCTTGGTAGTGGGAACGAAGCTTTTGCCGGGAAAGAGGGACAGGCGAAACCAGAGGAAGAAGATGAAGGACGAGGAGGAAAAGACACCACAATACCACCCCCAACACCCACCCACAACGGCATCTTTCCCAAATCCACATTCATCATCTCCAACCACGCAGACGAACTCACACCCTGGACCCCTCTACTCGCCCACCTCTCCTCCAGCCCCTTCCTCGCCATCCCTTGCTGCAGCCACGACTTTGGCGGCACGCGGTTCCGCGCCCCGGCTTGGGAACAGTACATGGGTGCTGACAAGGCTGCGGTGACGGCAACGACAACAACGACGACGACGACGCCCAAACAAAAGAACAAACTCCCATCTGCATATGCCAGTTTAGTGTCTTGGGTGTGTCATTTGACAGAGGCGGTTGGGTTTGCGGTCGAGAGGGAGTATTTGCGGATTCCGTCGACGAGGAATGTGGCGGTCTTGGGGCGGAGGCGTGTGGATGGGCATGGGCAAGGGCAAGGAGGAGAACGAGGTCAGAGACTGGAAGAGAAGATGGGGTTTGTGAGGGCGTTGGTGGAGAAGGAAATGGGCAGTAGCACAACGATTCAGCAAGTCGGGAGCATGTGGATGAGGAGCGGTGGATCATTGCTCAAGCCATCCAGGCCAGGCCATTAAGGTAGCAGTGTAGTCAAGTTACGGAGACGGACATGAACATGTATTACAAGTCACGTCACAAGAAGCGGTCACTGAAATTGGGTATCATTGAGAACAAGGTCGCTCAAGACTGCAAAATCGCAGCTCAGACGAGCAATACATTCGTAGTATCATCCGGTCATTGCGCCGTATGTCACCATATCCGGTCCCATTTTGGTATGCAGTAAAGGCCCAATAAGAAGAAGATCCCACGGCACCTTGTGTATTCCTCAAGCAAGTTTCAACCGCTTAGGAAGCAGGAGCAGCGCCACGTCCCCGACCGAAGCCACCACGGAACTCGGGTTTGAACTCGCCAGGGGCAGCACCCTCGGCCTTCTCGCCCTGGTCACGGCGGCGGTAACCGTCACGGTCACCGCCACGGTCGCCACCACGTCCACCACGGCCACCACCACGCCTCTCACGGTCCTCACCACCACCGAGCATACCCCGGGGAGGAGCAGAGCGCTGCTGCTTGATGTGTGTCTGGGGCACAATTTCGGCGGGGAGGTGGAGCCACTCGCGGAGGTAGTCGAGACCCTCGGGGGTGAGGGTGTAGTAGTAGTATTGCCACGAGAAGCGGGTCTTGAGGTAGCCGCGCGAGGTCAATGACTGGCCTGTTCATGATTAGACTTGGCTGACCCATGAGCGTCTATGGGTTTACTGACAAGCCTTGATGACGAAAAGGTTCTTGGTGTCAATGTCGCCATGCTTGGGAAGGTTGAAGTCCTTCTTTGCGACGAGAACGCCCTCTGTGGTGACCGTGTGTCAGCCTATCCTTATATGCAGCAAAGCCGCCAAAAAAAGTGTAATTGTGCCATAGCCATGGCTCGAGTACGGGGGGTTAACTAACCTCGGAAGAGGTATCTGGAGGACAGAATGTTAGCAAATTTGCTCATGATATGGGTATATGGTAGATCAACGAGGGATCAATGGAAAGCTCGAAGTTGCATGTTCGCATGTGTGCGTATGCAGCGAAAAGTCCAGCCCAATTGCGCCGTCATGTTGACTTGTGTGGAGGGGAACTAACTCGTGAATCGCTTTGCGATCGGCCTTGGGGATAAGCATCTTGGAAAGTTGTGAGTGATCTCGGTGATGCTGCGAACAGGTGTAGGTGGTCGATGAGGAGCAAATATCACAAATGCTGGACCCAAGTTGGATTTCGTCGTTGCCGTGGTCTTGGCGGCCGTTAAGCGAGCGGACCAATGATGCGCTCGGTCACGTGCATGAGTGCTCAGGGCCTAGACTAGTGGCATCCCCATCAATCTTCCACCTCCGATCGACATTCGGCCCTCATCGACCAACACTCACTATACAACGAACACCAAAGGACTACTACTCCACGCACAACCGACCCTTCTTTTCTTATCTTGCGCCCTTCAAACACACTTCAGTCTGCCGGCCAATATGGACAACGCCATGCAGTCTCCAATCACGGTCATCGTCAACAGTATCAAAGGGCAGGACATCGCCTTCCCCGCAGAAAAAGATGCGCCTCTCACCTCCATCTACGACACACTCTATGAACGCGCGCCCTGGATACAAAACTCAACCTACATCCTCACCACAAATTCGCGCCGGACAGTTCGCCACGATGCTGCGCCCGTATCATCACTCCTCTCCTCGCCGTCAGACACATTCCTCTCCCTCCGCCTGACTGTCCCTCTCTGCGGTGGCAAAGGTGGTTTCGGATCTATCCTGCGTGCACAAGGTGGCCGCATGTCATCGCGCAAGAAGAAGCAGGGGGACGCCAACGGATCATCTCGTAATCTCGATGGAAGGCGACTGCGCACGGTCGCAGAGGCCAAAACGCTCGCCGAGTACCTAGCTATCAAGCCGGAGATGGAGCAACGCGAAAAGGAAGAGCGGAGAAAGAAATGGGAGGACATTGTAGAGAGCACCGAGCGCAAGCAAGAGGAGCTGCTACATGCTGGTGGCAAGGCGCGATTAGACGGCAAGTGGCTTGAAGACAAGGAGGAAGCGGAGAACAAGACCAAGGAGGCGATTGAGAAGATGCTGCTTGCGCAAATGGTGAGCTCCGAAGACGATGACGAGGCCGACTCGAAACCTGCAGCTTCTGCGTCGAAACCCGCTCAGCAACGTCAAATGTTTGGATGGGACGACGAGGACGATGAGTTTATGAGCGATAGCGAGGATGAGGATGAAGTTTCGGAGGAGGATGTGAAGCCGGTGTTTGAAGGCAAGGGCAAAGCTAAAGCTACTTGAGATCAGATAAGAACTGAAAACATACACAGCACACTAATGATTTCAGCACAGCAGCGTGGTCAGGCGTTAAGAGATTGATAATCATTCCCAAATAGATACCCAATCCAAATGATGAAACTATTTCAGAAACACATCTAACTTCGGCTGCCCGAATCTGCACTAAACACAACTACCAAATATCCTTCTCAGACTCAACTCTGACCATCAAGACTACACAGTTACAACGTATACGGCTCCTGCTTCCAACTCACCCGCCTCTCATCTCTCATTCGATCAAACCTCACCACACTCTGCAACAGCACCTGCGCCCCCAACGCACAATCCTCCTCCTTGCAAAACTCCCTCGGATTATGACTCACGCCCTCCCTACACGGGACGAAAATCATACTCGTAGGACAGCGTTTACTAGCATACACGCTATCATGGCCCGCACCAGATGTCATCTCCATGACCAGATTGCTGCCCCTGGGACTCTTCGGTGAGGAGAGGACATGTTGCGCAGACTGGCGCACAGCGGCAATGCAATCAGCGTGGAAGTGGGTGGCCGGGGAGGAGAAGTCTTCGATGATCTCGACGCTGAGGGGGAGGCCAGGTGTGCAGCCTGCGTTTGAGCCGTCGACATCTTCGCCGGCTGCGATTCGGGGGAAATCGCGCTCGATGAGCTGTTGCATCAGGGATACGGTTTCGTCCTTTGGTGAGCGGATGTCCAGGCTGAAGGAGACGGAACCTGGTACGGTGTTTGTGGAGCCTGGCTTTAGGTTCAGAATGCCGGTTGATGCTAGGGCGGCATTCGCAGTCGCCAGCCGATGAGAGTGGAGGATCATCTTGCTGGCGGTGAGGAGCGCATCGGCTCGAGACTTGAGATCTGTGGTTCCGGTGTGCGTGTCTCGGCCTTTGACGTTGATGGTGAACCATTTGTACGCCTGTACACCAGTCACGATGCCAATCTTCTTGTTTGCCATCTCAAGCAATGGACCTTGCTCAATGTGCAACTCAAAGTGTGCAGCCATTGGCATTGCCTCGTGGCTCGCAGGAGTGCTTCCCAAGTAGCCGATCCGCTGGAGTTCAGAAGCCATGGTCGCAGTCCCGGGATGTAGCTCGCGGAGGTTGTGTGCAATCTCAAGAGGGATCGAACCAGCCCAGACACCAGAGGAGACCATGGACATTGGGAAGCGAGCACCCTCTTCATTAGTCCAGTTCACAACACCTACAGGATACTCAGTCTCCGTCCAATTGTCGGCTAGTACGCGTAACATTTCAACGCCTGCAGTAACTCCCAAGATTCCATCATAACGTCCTCCAGATGGTTGCGTATCCAAATGACTTCCCACAAAAGTTGGTGGTTTGTCGTTTCGCAGTCCGGGGCGAACGGCAAAGGTATTTCCCATGGAGTCAATGGTCACCTTGCATCCTAGCGCTTCTGTAGTCTTCACAAACCAGTCTCGAGCAGCCTTGTCAGCGTCTGAGAGGGCAAGACGAGACATGCCCGTTTCGGTTTCCTTGCTGGAAACCATCAGTTATATGAAAATAGAATGCGCGTCTTGACATACTCTCCCCATCGCTCTCCTGTTCCCCATTGACAAGTATAATGTATATCTTCCATCAACCGAGACTGGTTGACTTCAAGGTCCTTGAGATGCTCATCATTCATCTCCTTAGTTCGAATATGGCATCTTGGCGTAGAGGTAAAGGCCCTGACTTGACTGCATCCTAACTTTGGGAAGGATCGACATCTCACAGAGGGGGCGGGGTATCGTCGACTTGCAATGCGCAGAGTAGGCGCGATTCTGCTGAGAGAAGATTGCATTGTGTATGTGTAGAGGAAATGTAAGAAGCGGTCATCATTATCACAGGATGGAAAAGGATAACGGCATCTTGAAGGATCAGATGGTATGACATGTGCCTATGGTCGTGGGGGAAAAGTGGGGGGCTGTGAACGTGATAACAAGTCCCAACCTACCTAGTGCGGGCGTATCCCGCGCTTCTTTCCGACGGACGATACCGAATTCCAATCGCTTGCAACTCGCATTGGTTGAATAGATTCGATTGAGGTTTATTGCATCGCTCTGCCATGAAAAGATTGGTATTCTGTACGAAGGATGTTGAGACTACCGGTACCAGTAACTTCCAATGTTGGTTACCTACCGGTACGCGCTCAACTTGGTCTCCAGCCTCATCTTGAGCATCTGCGACAACTCGTCCAACGAATTCAACATTTCAATACCATATCTCAAACAAACCATCTGCACATTTCCTCTCTTGTAAAAGCCCTCTGGGCAGCACACAATGGCCTTGCCCGTCCCAGCACACAAGCCCAGTTCGAGCAGAGTAATCGGCGTTTGGGCTTCAGGCGCGAAGTAGAACACAATGACATCTGCAACCTGTGCATAGTCCATCTCCCACTCTACCTGCTCCTTGAACTTTGGAAACGCAATGTCTTCGATCCAGCTGCTGTCCCAGTCATCTCGACGAGGGTTGAGGATGGCAATGGGAAGGTCAGACAGCGAGGCTGCAAGGTTGGTATGCCAGTCTTTATCTGGGTCGGACAATATGGCTCCATAGAGGATCACAGAAGGTCTGTCGATCTGTGGTCGGATGGGAGGTTTGTAGACAACAATTTTAGATGAAGAAGTTTGGGACATGATCGTATTGTGAGTACATATTGATACACGTGAATATGCAGTGGGGCAATCTAATATAGTTCACTGCTAACACGAATTGGGGAGTCACGGGTTGATTGCTGGGGCTGGAAATCTTCTGGATCGCTACTGGTATTGCATTCTATTTTTCCAAAAACTTCGAACTCCGATACATTGCCAACCTTCATTAAGACCATCATGGAGGCTTTGCACGTCTTCCTTCCAAAGTTTCGTCGACTCGTCATCCAGCACGCATCAAACGCTGGACTTGGCTGACGGCGACCTTCTCGCGAAGCTTGCGTGCGCTCTCGAAGAGCCGATTGGCCTCTATACTCGCCTTGAGTATAGCAATCTCTCGGTCAGCGCGCGAAACAACGTGCTTGACCAGAGCTGCCGAAGTCACACGCTCAGAAGCTTTGTGATGCAACAACATCCGATATACACACTCAGTTGAATAGCTGCTCGGCACATAGTCATCGCCGATTTGAGCAAGATCGTAATCTTCTCTCAGGATAGATGCGGGAACATCGAGCGGTCGATATACGACTCGCCGTTGCCACCGAACAGTTGCTGTGCGCCACGCGCCGTTTGTTTTAGGATATGGCTTGCCTCGCAGTTTCATTTCCATGATGTATGCCTCTTTCGACACGGTCGAAGGCAGACCAGTCTTAAACGTCTGTATCGACGCTCCAAGACCCCAAATATCAACTGCTGGGTGAATTGGGCCACGACGTTCATTCGTGGGAGGCGCGTATTCGTATGTGCCACAAAACTCCTGGAAATGGCCATCGGGTGCTGCAGGGTAAGCCATGAGACGTGCAAAGTCAGTAATCTTGAAGGTTGGTTCAATAGGAACACCACCTTCTGGAGCCCAGCCGGAGGGTCGTGTGACAAGGATATTGTCAGGCTTCATGTCGTTGTGGACGTGAGAAATCTGGTGCTTGTTGTGAATAAAGTCAAGAGCAAGACTTATATCTTTTAACAACTTCCAGATAGTTACATCAGAAGGGTAAGCGGGCCGGCCATTTGCCTTCTCTTGTGCGCACCATTGATCGCGGTAATCATGAAGACACCCTAGATCGCAGAGCTCAAGAAAAAGCTGGGGGCCCACGGAAGACTGAGTACAAGCGATCATGTGTACGATATGATCATGCGCCCCCAACATAATCAGATTTTTCGCTTCCTCCTCAACCATCCTACCAGCTTGTCCATCGTCAGGATGGGACGACTTGACCGCGAGGTTGGTCTTGGTCGGTAGGTGCGTCCATTGCACTACCTCCCCATCCCCACCTGCTCCAAGTCGTCGTACTACCGCAAACAATTGCTTTTTGAGTTGCTCACGGTTGCGAGACCCTGCCCATGATTTGTTCAGATCACTCACAATCGCCAGTTCTGTAGTATGATCGGTTGCATTCTGTGATTGGTTGGGCATGTTGAACTGAACTGAACCTTCGATTTGGGTAGGGAGATGTTTTTCTGTTTGGTAGCTGATTTGATGATGGTTTTCCCGGTGAAAGATGCTCGTTGGGAATATTTATTACCAGTGAAGATTGAGCATTGTGCATTTCCAATGTATCTTCTACGAGTATTGTTCTTCTTGCGTTGAACAATTTTGTCAAAACACAATGTATACTATAATACGCTGTAGCAGTTCACAGCGCATAGCTAGATCCCAAAAGCATGATGGGTCATGGATCCAAGTATTGAGTTGTAGATATCAGAGTTGTGGGCTAGATATCCTTGAGCGATATAGTCAATAGATGAACCAGTATTACAAGTAACGTTGCTGGCGAGCTGGCGAATTTCGTTCTTTGATTTAAACCCATGGTATTACTCTGACAGCAAGTTCTTCTCCAATCGGATTGCTGGCTCTGTTCCATGTGTCGTCCAGATTCGGAGTCGTAAATGACAACTTACCGGTATTTCTTCGCAGCTCTTGCATCCATCTTCCTTTACTCCCAATGACGTTAAACCTAGTACTGCACCCATTCGTATCTGGATGCAAATCTATGTTGATATCAAAAGAGGCAGAGATGTCTGCTCGCCTAAACAAACCGGCACTTGCGATGCACGGGAGCCATAATAGCGTGAAAGCTACTGTGGGTTGTTGAGGCGCAACCTGGTAGCGGCGCTTGCCGCTTGTTGTGACTTTGCACACCATTCCTGTGTCACCATCGAAGATTGCCACAAAATTCGATTTGACAGCTCGCAACATCGACTGAACATACATTCAAAAAGGGTACCAATATTTCGTGAGCCATTACTATAGGTTAACTTTCCCAAGGGTCAATGGAAAACGGAAAGACTCTCGGTGCACTTCCAAAGCTGCAGAGCCTCATGTGGGCCACTAGAAGCTTTCTTTTCGCAAACAAGCTCCACCAAGACGTCGGTCCGATGCTTGTGTGCTCCATCAGATGACGCTGTTCCTGGAAGGATCACCATAATTCTGCGACAGCCGATCACATCTTGGGCCACTCAGAGCACGATAAATGCGCAAGGAGTGTCCTATCGAGATTGGGAAAAGCAGAGTTTTGCAGTGCGTGTGCCATGGAGACTCCACGCCTACGTCACTGACAAGGTGAGTAGTGGTGGCAGCACCGTGGGGATCTTCTTCTTCTCCATGGGCAGAGGTATCTCCACTGGAGATTTAAAAGGGTGGAGATGTGCTCAGGATGACTGGATTTTGTGTTAAAAGTTTCCTCTTCTTTTCCGATCTCGACGTCTTGGGACCAGTATTTCGGGTCTGATGATTATCATGGACGAGAAAGATACCAAGATGGCTGATACGACAAAGCATGTTGAAGCCGCACAGCCAACCCAAAATTCACATGCTGAGATCACTCCCGCACCTGCGCCAGATTACTCAGCGCCCAAAGCAAACACTGAACAACTCGAAGATGCTCGCGGATGGGAATCGGAAAACTTGGTTCAGGATTTAGAAAAGGAATTGGAGCAAGCCGAGTACAAGCTGGGATTTTTCGATCTTCAATTCAAGAATCCAAAACATTTTACATGGCTTCTTGTCGCTTTTGCTTCCATGGGAGGTCTGCTCTCCGGACTGGATCAATCGCTCATCTCTGGTGCCAATCTCAAGCTCCCGCAGGATCTTGGCCTCACGGCGCAGCAAAATTCCTTGGTCAACTCTGGCATGCCTCTTGGTGGTAAGTGATAGCATCTTAGCTCAGAGAATTAGTTTATTGACTCCAAACAGCCGTCGCCGGTGCGTTCCTCATCTCTCCATGCAACGAGTACTTTGGTCGCCGCTGGGCTATCCTAATTTCTTGCATCCTGTACACCATTGGAGGTGCACTAGAGGCTGGTAGTATGAATTATGGAATGATTGTCGCTGCACGTGTCATCCTCGGTGCTGGTGTCGGCCTTGAAGGTGGAACAGTGCCAGTGTACGTCGCCGAGACAGTCGAGAGCAGACTTCGGGGTAACCTTGTGTCACTCTATCAGTTCAACATTGCTCTCGGTGAGGTTCTCGGGTATGCCGTCGCTGCCATGTTTATTACTGTCCCAGGTTCATGGCGATATATCCTCGGTAGCTCGCTCGTGTTCTCCACCATCATGGGAATTGGCATTCTCTTCATGCCGGAGAGTCCACGATACCTGATGCATAAGGGCAAGTCCCTCGAAGCATTCAAAGTCTGGCGCCGCATCAGAGGAACTGCTACATATGAAGCTCGTCAAGAGTTCTTCATCATGAAAATCAGCACCGAAGAGGAGGAGGCCGAGGTGGCAGCCGGTCGGACGAAGCGCTTTCCATGGATGGATTTTGTCACCAAGCCGCGCGCACGTCGCGCTATCGTCTATGCCAACATTATGATTTTCCTGGGGCAATTCACGGGTGTTAACGCCATCTTATACTACATGAGCGTGCTCCTGTCGCAGATTGGCTTCAACACATATGATGCAACTTACATGTCTTTGGTCGGCGGCGGCGCACTACTCATTGGTACCATTCCTGCCATCTTCCTCATGGAGACATGTGGACGTCGTTTCTGGGCTATCGCTATGCTTCCCGGCTTCTTAATTGGTCTCATACTGGTTGGAGTGAGCTACCAGCTTCATAGCGTCACTGCAACACTTGGGGTTTACCTTACCGGCCTAATCATCTACGAGCTTTTCTTCGGTTCCTACGCCGCACTCACATGGGTCATTCCATCCGAGGTGTACCCAACCTATCTGCGCTCGTACGGTATGACGACATCGACTGGGTGGCTCTTCCTTTCCTCGTTCATCGTTACCTACAACTTCACGGGCATGCAAAATGCCATGGGCCGCACGGGACTGTCTCTAGGCTTCTACGGAGGCATTGCAGTAGTCGGCTGGTTCTATCAGATCTTCTTCATGTATGAGACAAAAGACAAGACACTGGAGGAGATTGACCAGTTGTTCATGAAACCAACGCGCCAGGTTGTTAGGGAGAACATGAAGAGCTCCTGGGAGGTCACCACAGATCTGATTCACTTTAGATTCAGGAAGGTCTTTATTGAGAATAACCAGAGATCAAAGGCAGGAGAATAGGAGTGCGTCTGCTACTTGGATAGGCCATTGAATATATCCTGACCTGTCTGTGGCGATGATGATGTTGTTGCAACACAAGACACTGTCGGTCGTCTGGCCTATGCGTTGAGACAAGACAATACAAATGTTCACTCATGTGTCCATACCCATGTCTCGGCTTGTTTCTGGTACTTTTCTGAATTTTGCAAATATGTGCTCTTGCTGTATCCTCTTTCGCACGCACCAGGCGCACAGTGATCTTCGATTGGTCTAATCAACCCGTCTTTCTAAAGCTAGGTGCACTTGGCAACTGAAATACCCTTTCCTTCGCAATTCTCTGAAACACAGACCCTAACACTCAATGGCAAACAATCACACCTAGTGGAAAAGGAAGTGCGCAGGATCAACATGACGGCCATGACCTCAACCACGTTCAATCACCACACAACTCCATCTCACAGTGAGACCCTGCCCAAGCTTGAGTCTCATTCATAATCAAAGGGGATTTATAAGTACAATTGCGATGTTCGCATCATCATGAACAAAAGTCACTCAACACTTATCCCGAATTCAAATTGCCTCAAACTACAAGTTTAGGCTTACATCTATCCCCGAGACTCTCATCATGGACTCCAAAGATAACTGGGCATTCGGAGCTGTACCTTATGCAGCGGGTGTACCGCACAGCGGAGCCCAATCTTTATACTCTGTCCCAAGCACCGCGATCATTGTTGGAGGCACCGCTGCCGTTCTGGGGGGTTGGCCTCTGGTTTTGTGTATTGCCGGTTATTCCATCACTGGTATGTATACTGCCCTATATTCCTCGGCCCGCTATTTGTTTCCAGTGTTCCTTGCTCTTGCAAGATCAACTGCGTTTGCTCATATCTGGGAAATAGAATCTCTTGCTGCTGCAACTAGCACAGCACTCCGCAACATTACACTAGGAAGTCCTTCTACCGTAATGGCCCGCAATATGGTCGATGAAGATATTGGCGACATTGCTAGTGAAATTGGAAATAGTGGGATAGCCGCGGATTGCATGGATGAAGATGATATGAAAGTAAATGCGAGGATGTTATAATGGGGTGTTTGGACAGTTGTGGAAATGGTAGGTATTGGCATAATGCTATAGGTATATACTACGCCGACAAACTAACAGACTTAGATGTTATACGAGCGCTATAGGTACGTCAAAACGTCCCAGTATACTCCAATGTAGCCTTTCTTTTCGAACAGGAAAATCAGTCCGGTAGTCGTGTGTTCCCGTGCCATACACCCTAGGTATCGTATCGTATCGTATCGTACTGTAGTATGTACCGGTAAATCTCGAACAGGCGTGTCTAGAGTACTGTCTACCACCCACACCCTCCGATCCCAATCCCCAATCCCCCAACCCGCGCATCGCGCGCAACAAGCCCCCACAACCGCACTCTGCCAACTCTTTCACAAGGATACTTGGCCGCCCCGCACCACCCAAACAGCCGCAAGGTTTTTTGTATTCTGGGGCTGGAGGAGGGGGGACAGCGACGGGTTTAACAGACTGCGATGATGTGCAAGCAAGTTGAACGTGGGATGTACGGGTCCTAGGTAAGTAGCGTATGCATGTTGCTTGGGAAGAGTGGGCTTGTGGGGAGTTGGGGCTGTGTATGGGTATGTATTGAGGGTATGGAGATGTGGAGATATGTGTGGAATGGTGTTTGTAGAGTAGCGATGGCGTGTTGTTATGGATAGGCTAGTGTGCGCGGGGTTTGAGGGCTGTGTTGGGTGGAGTGCAGGTAGTGCAGGCAGAGGGATTTGTGGGAAAATGGGTAATGCTTGATGGATGCATTTGAAGGCGAATGTGGAGTGAGTTCAAGTTGGTTAGGGTAAAGTATGTAGGAAGTGATTTGCGTGCTATGCTACGGGTGAAGAGTGGGTGGTTACTCTACACACTCCACGCTTGTGCATGGAACGTCTTTTTATGTGGGGAGCCATGTCCAGCGTTTACGTTTGGTGCTGGTGTCGTGCGCAGGCGAACAAGAAGCGATATTCCCGGGGACGCATACGCATCCCAGAGAGGAGCGAGAGTCCTGGATTTACCGATCCTACTGCTGCATTCGTTCCGTGTTTCTGTTCTGCGCAAGTCTGCATGTGGTTTGCAGGACCATCGGTTATATCTAGCGAGTCCGCGGGGAGGTTGTTGCGACGGGCCGGGCAGGCATGGCAGCCGTTGAAGTGCAGGTGGTGTGGAGTGCAATGTGGATCCGTGTAGAAGTGTGCGAAGCATCTCCGGAGAAAAGTGGACATTCTAGCAAGCTGGGTCTTGAGGCAAGATTCAAACAGCCAATGTTGATGCCGGTTCCTCGATGTCGGATGCGTGACTGCGAATGACTTGGTCGTCAGAGCTAGGGAGACTGGATGGGAGCAACAACGGCGTCATGATTGCTCCTCCCTGGCCTCGAGATGCACCTCTATCCTGTTCAGCAGGCCTGAGACCATGTACATACTCCGGTTCAAGGGCCACTGTGCAGAACACGTCCGCTCCTATCAGGTGCAATGTCTCTCTCAAGACCCTCCGGCAGTTCAACGTTGCATGGGAATAGTCGCATGGCAACACTGAATCTGCATCATGATGCATCACTTGCCCTCACTCTCTTTCTCCCTCAACCGGCGTTCCCGGAAGCCCTCAATCTTCCTCTCCAACTCATTCTTCTTGGACACCAATTGCGCACGTGCGATGTCGAGCGTCTCGATTTGCTCTTCTGGTGTAGCTTCGAGGATTTGCTTTCGTCGCTGGTGGCGAACATGTATTAGCGTGTATACAGGGAGGAGGCGTCGGTCTGGAGGCTTGCCAGCCACACCGAGGCTCGTTTGGACTTGTAAGAGTAAGGGGGACATATTCTGGTAAGATAGACTCACCTTGTGCACCTCAATGTCACTCTTCAATGTAGCGCCGTAAATGGACCCAGTAACGGTGATGGCTGCGACTGCGCCCGTGAGAATCCAGCGACGCACGGTCTGCGGTGTCGTCATGGTGATTTCGATATATCTGCCCTTGATGAAGGTAGAAAGTAGAGTGACGAGCTACCAGTGATACCTCTGAGGTCCGATGCAATGACAACGATGGGTGCTGGTGCAACTCGGAAGCATCGTGGATGAAATTCAAGGGACCAATCTGCCAAGCATTTTCGCCGCGGGAGTCTCGCGCGCGTCTTGTTTCCCCCACCATTCACACAACAACACCATCAACAATAACAACAGCAGCAACAACCCCTCTCTCAAGCCTCCAACCCAATCCTCTTGTCTGACAAGTGATCCCCTCAAACCTCACCAATCCAGCCACCCGCACCCAATGGCGAACCCCACCCGCTCCCAACCCGCCCCCAACTCGCGCCTTAGCACCGTGCCCTCGCAAAAACCGCGCCAACTATCCCATCTCCAAGCGCAGCTCGCGCAGCTCACGGCAAACATGGCCGACTTGGAGAGCCTGATGCGCATGACGGCCGGTCAGGCGCAGGATATGCGGGCTTTGGGTGGGTATTCGGGTGCCATGTAAGTAGTTGTAGTAGTTGTCGTGGTAGTCGTCGTCGCACTGTGGGCGAGTCTTGTTGTGAAAAGGGCGGGGTGGTGTGGGGAGCGATGTGTATAATGTTCTTGAGAGCTAACGTGCTGGACCCAGGTTCATGGCGTCGAGTAAAGTGTTAGGAGAGGAGACGGTCAAGGGCGGGGAGAAAGGCGGGGAGGACAGGGAGGGCGAGAAGTGAGGATTCACGGGGGCCATACCTGGGGAATGCATCGAATCGGATCAGTCAGCCCTGGACTCATCCTACAAAGATGACTACTCTACACCCCTCTCACGCCCGAGGACAACGAAAGCCGCAAGTAGAAGGGACCCGAGACAACCACCTCACGCCCACAAGAACACGTCCGTGCCACGAGCGAGTGCACTTTATCTGCAGACTCCGCGGCACATGAGATATCGCGATCCCGCAAGCCCAAACCCGTCCGCTACCCAAACACACAAACGGGCACAGCTTGCCAGGCTTACCTTTTACCTCTTACCCATCACAACACCGTCCATGTCCTGCCTATCTAAACGACACGATATCATGCATATCCGCCCACACAGAAACACGTGTACTTGTTAGATTAGCTCTTGGACCATGTACGAGCATCACTGTTGTTTATCTGTCTATCTGTCTATCTATCTATCTGTCTATCAATCTATCCATCTATCCAGCTAAACACTCCTATCCGATAACAATCCTCACTGCCCAATTACAGGGCATGTATGCATGCGGTGCCCCCAAACAAATAATGCTATAAAACCCGTGAACATGGCCTCGGACTCGTATATTCCAGATTCCAGATTCCAGATTCCCCAATTCCCCAATTCCCCAATCATCATCCATTCCGTGCAAAAGAAATCCTCCAAGAAAACGGCCATTCGCGCTCATGAATCCCACATCACTGGGTTGAGGAGGAGGAGGAGAAAGCCAGGACTTTTGCTTCGACTTGTGCTTCGACTTCTCTACTTCTCCCAAACACGTTGACAAGAAGAGCATGCGAACCACAATGTACGGCTACCGTAGCGAGGGAAAGAAAACGGGGAGGGAGAAATAATGGGTGAGATGGTATACGATGTGCTAGGAGTTGACATGTTGGCAATGTTGACAATTCCATCCCCGGTATGCCTACTATACTGTACGTGTGAGGAAGTACGAGTGGAAGCACGAGTACAAGTACAAGCAAGAGAGAGAGAGAGAGAGAGAGAGAGACAGACCCTACCTCCAGCATCCCAGTACCGTGCCAACGCCGGCCCGTCAAACGGTCAACCAAGGCTTATTCAGGGTCTCCGCTTCAGGGCCACCCACGCACGCATCGGTCCCGCTGCTCATTGCTTTGGATTGGAAGACGCGCTGTACCGTACTGGACCTGTCTAGTGTAGTGTGACACTTCAAGAGACAACGAGAGACAGCATGAAGAGACAGAAGGAAAAGAAAAAAAGGAGACTGCAGAAGAGGGGAAAGCAAGCAAGCAAGAAAGAGAGAAGCAGGGAAAGGAACAAAGAAGATTCCACACAACCCCACAACCCACCCTCACAATCGCACAAAATCCCCAAAGCCCAAAACGCACGCCTAAATGAATCACGTACACCCGACATCGACCCCCACGATCCATCCCGCGCGCCTCGTATCACAAAGACATGCCAATGCCAAAAAGGGATCAACGAACTCGTCACCCCCCACTCGCGCCCCGCGCCCCCTCGCTGCTCATCGGTCTTCTCTGTTTCTGTTTCTGTTTTTGTTGGAGGGGAGGGGCAGGGGGGCTGCCTATGTGGATTCGACATCTCATCTCATCTTTCCTCCTTCCTCTCAGCTACAGACTGCCTACCTAGGTAAGTCGTACTTCAGTCAACCCGACAAAACTCGTGTGCTGCGGATATTGTCGTAGCCGGCGTGATTTCTCCGCGCGGGTTCTGGAAGTCTGGTTGCGTTGCGGAGATGGCTCCGACATGGGGCATGCGCGAATCGTAGTGCAGCTATTTGACTGCATCGCCCAGAAGAAGAAAAAACATCAGGTCGCATTGCGTGCAGAGGGTGGGGGGAGGTTGCGGCGAGCCATACAGATCCTTACGGCTGACAGGTGAGCTTGTCGAGTTGGGGGGGAAGGGGGGCCAGTAGGTGGTCTAGCCTTGGGAATCCCTGGCGGCCCTTTGATGCAAGTCAAGTGCGTGTGGCTGTTGTGGCTTGCATGGGCATGCGCGCCTCCTGGTCCACTCTGGGCAGATGCGTGGGATACCTACTCTAATTACATCCTGTACTGCCACGGTCAGTGGGAATTCCCTCCACTTCGAGGCAACCCTTTTTTTTTGTGCCGGCACGGTGCCAGGCTGGTTGGTAAGAACCGAGTAATCCATCTGGCCCAAACCAACAGTCTTGCTCCACAACGAGCGGATTCCCAACCTCAACACCTCGCATATTGCCAATAGCGTCTACTCTGGCAACTTTGCATCCTCCATACGAACACGGTGAATCGATGATAATTTTTTTCGACGCAATTTCGCATGTGACAGTGCCGTTGTGGAGGGTCCCTAGGTAGGGTTGCAGGGGCCTAGGCGAATGTCCGAACTTGGCGGTTGCGCAACGTCCGACTTGGTATGCATCACAGGCACAGAGAATCAGTATCCTGTCCGAGATAATGCCATGCCACGGACTGGCTCTGGCTTCGATTTGATATATCCGAGCCTCAAGCGGCCAAGATCCTAGGTCCATGTACTGCGCCTTCATCGGGGACATGCCACTATGTAGTCCCTGGGGTCAGCCCAGCAGTGGCCCAGGATATTACCATTCGCTGCCATGGTCAGTCTTGGGTGATGTACTGTGTATACTGTCATGTTTGTATTGTGCTCGTGTACGATGGATTTGCAGCAAAAGACATTAGTTTCCGTCCACACCGGCGCATGCTTCACGGGAGCCAAGGCGGTGATTTTTCTCACGACAGCTTCATGAGTTTCGAGAACCGAAAGTGAAGGCGAAAGGCTGATGAAGCCTGCATGGTGACTGATTGCTGAGGCATCCATGCACTTGCAATGGGATCAACAGGACCGGTCCTGAAATGAAGCCAAATGTTCTGGCTTGAATCTCATCCTCCTGTACCGGTACATGGACGCTCTCCACATTCCGTGTCACCACTAGGTCCATCTCGACGCCGGGCGATCTACCGAATTCAGGGCCCATCGAATTTGGACAGGTGCAACGACGGTCCATCGACGGTTGTGGGCCCAGGAACCTGACATGGGTGTGTTCCTAGTAAGGCATGTATCCGTCCTGTCGCTACTCCCAGTACTCTACCTACTCCTAGAATGATGGCCCAAGAGTCTTCGAAGCGCTTGATCAAGTCAGTTCGGTTCGTACTCGCATGAGACATGCGAATCTAGGATGCCACTTTCTCGATGTTGAGTGCGCTACCGTCTCCCTAGACCTGGGCAAGGAGCTGTTGGAGCAGGCTAAGACTTCAGGCAATTCGCAACCACGTGTCGTGTGCCATGGGCGGTGGAGCGGTCGCTCGAGCTAAGTCGCGGTGGTGGAGCCCGGTCTAAATAAGAGCCTGAAATCTCAAGGAAGGGTCGGAAAATGTAGGAAAGGCAAGTGCCAGGTGCAAGGCAGACCCCGGCAGCGGTCGGATAGCATACTCCGGAGCCGGGTAAACTGGGGGGGAACCAGCCATCGCTGAGGATCTACACAGTCAATGTGGTGAATAGGGTAGTGCTAGGTAAGCTTTGCGATTGGCATTTTCAGTCCTGACTTCGCCTCACCATCGGCGGGCTGGCGATGGAGGCGCCCATGTAGGTTCAAAGGAAAGTGGGCAAAGGTCATGCTGGCCTGATCGTGTGCCAGCGACCTGTAGTAGGTAGCCCATTCACGGTTGAGAGCGATGAGGAGGGTCGGGATACAAAAGTCGGCGGGATGCTGCTGCTAGAGGCAACTACCGGTAGTGCATCCAGAGGATCGAATAGATGGTACGGATCAGCCAATCCGGAGACGGGAGAGTATGGTTTCCCATTCACCCTCAGCTAGAGACAGCTGCTGTTGGTGGATCTTGAGTAGGTAGGTAGGAGTACTCTAGAGTGGTCGAGGGGTGCAGTGGAACATGACGGACAGGATTCACGAGGGAAGCCAAGTCGGCCAATGGCACACGACAGTGGACGAGAGGTGACGTCCGTGGATCGACATGGATGCAGGTTGATTTTCTCAATGCTGCATGCACCCCGACCCGGTCCACGTCCAAGATTGCAGACCAGGTGGAAAAAGCATGGCAGGAGCATCATCAGGCCGAAAAACCGGCCAGTTTGACGCACTTTTGCAGTCTCCTCCACGCCTCTGACAGAGGTCTCGGCAGGGTTGGGAAATGGATGGGAGCGAGCTGGCCGCTACTACGGTGTGCACGGTTCAGGCGGTCTTTGCCAAGACCAGGGCCGGCGTGTTCAGCGGCAGATGGCAGGACGACAAGCCATCTCGGGTGCCGCAGTGCAGACCGATGATCTCAGCCGCCGGTGGCAGAGGGGCGTGTTGTTGAACTGGTGCTGCTGAGGCTACAGAGAAACAGCCATGGAGACAGTAGCGAGTGCCGGTAGAGTAGGCGGGTTGGTGGGGTCGTGTGCTCATGCAAGCTTGCTTCCTTGATCTGAGCCCATGGACGGCACCGGTAGAGTAGATGTTGTCTAGTAGGTCGAATAGCGGGTGGGGATGGACACAGGTTTGCACCATGTAGGCATTGTACTCGAAGTAGGCATCTAGTACTGTCTACGGCATGCACTACCGCAGCAGCGCACCCCAAGCAGCGGTGCTCGGCTGCATGCATGTGCAGGCTCCAGGGCTTCTCTGCCCCCAAGGGTGAGGCGGTGGCTGGCTGTCTGATTGGCAGGCAGGCGGGCTGTAGTGGGGGTTCTTCGTGGGTTGCCGAACGCTCGACAGCTGGGTAGGGTAGAGCAAGGTGAAAGAGGATGATTGTGCTACCTACAGTAAGTGAGTACTAACTCTGCTACTAGACTAGAGGACAGGCAAAGTGAACATGGGGGCATGGGTAGGGTAGGGCACATGGTGGGTTAGTGGGAGTGGGTATCCATCTATGGTAGAGTAGAGCACTCTACTCTAGAGTACTGCTCTACTGTGACTGTGTAGGCTGGGTGGGCACGTGCGCACACCCACGGCGCTGCAACCTGAGTGTTGTGAAGATGCGGGCACGGTGCCAAAGGGCCTCGCTCTCGCTCTTCCATTCCCGCAAACACTGCACACGTCCCGCCTGGTGCCACTGGCTGACCGCCGCATGCTGGGTGGCGCTCGGGAGAACGTGGAGTCGTGGACGGTCGACGGTGTACCCAGTATGTAAATGGGAGTTATTGCGCCGCTCATCAACTGGTGTTGGCCTGCAACCCGCTTCGAGGCTTCGCACGAGGGGGTCCCCATGGAGGCACGCCAGCAACAGTGACCTTTACGGTAGGTCTTGCACTTGAATATCACCACACCCCCTCCTTCCCTACCATCCCCCATATGAGAATTGACGGATGGCTACGGTCGCTTCGGCGTACTGTGCTTCAGGGGATGAGGCCGGAGAGACTGAGGGGAATACTAGAGTTTGCAATCTATCGCTTGACCAAAATGTTCTCTGGCCGTCAAGTACACCAGCAGTATGGAGTGAGCCTCTTGCTGTCAGTAGGGTGGTCGACCAGCCACTAATGCCGGTCAGTCGACTGATGTCAAAAACGTTTTGCTGTCATACTCACCCGCACTGCATATCTGCGATGATACCCAGTTGTTGCCTATCATCCATCTCCAT